GCCAGTAAACTCAGATCCAAGCAAATTGTTTTTGTGTCTCTGTGTGTGCTAGGCAAAGTTCAGCCTATTTTTATCCAGCAGTTAATGTTTTACTCAAAGAGGGCACCTTTAATGATTTGAACAGTTCTCTAATTAAGATATTAAGGCAATGGCACATGTAATTTGTGCCACTTAGTCAAACATGATCACAAGGACACAGGAGGTGTCATCAGGTTCTTCACGTAGTTCTGCTCCTTTCTGCTGAACTCAAGGCTAACCTTGGCCATCAATAACTCCAGCTCACTCCAGGACACACTTAGCCCTCTTTTCCTACTAGTCAAAGTTCTGCTGTGGAAAGCAATAACAAATGGGAACGAGCTGGGAGAGAGGCAGGTACTGAGGCATCAGCTGTATGGCAGGTGAGGAAAGTCCAGCGACAGAACAAAGGTAGTATTAGATGCTTCCAAAGGAAAAGATCCTCAGGGACTTATCCAGGGGATGTTTGTGCCAGAAGGTAACCATACACATCCTATAAACAGAAATTATGTCCAACCCAACAGCTCCTGAATGTAATCCTGCTTATCTTCATCCTGACCCCATCCTGCCAGGCATGAGCGTCTAATTTAATTTTTGCGCCCTATATGAGATAAGAATTGTTTTCCCTGTTTTTATAAACAAGATACCATCAAAATTGCAACTTGGCACGGCTCACTGGTAAGTTCAGTGTGTTGCCTCATGGAAAATTAAACAGTGGAAGCAACAACAAGGCCAAACCCTTTTCGGTGAGCAAATAACCAGGTCTCCCCATCAGGACAAGCAGCACAGGAGAGCAGCAAGGAAGGAAGGGGGATTGCGACCCACCTTCTTAAACTAATTGGCAGTGGGCCTTTTTAAAGCCAGTTGAGGAGAGAGAAGGTGTAGGTGTACCTAGGGGCTTTTCTCCATCCCTTTCTGGACAGTCTGCTCAGGACTCAGTTATTACCTATTCAGGTAATAACATTCTTCACACTGAAGAACTTTACGTGACACAGTAAAATGGACTACTCATGATTTTAACTTAATGATATACCTGAAAATAGTCTTTTTTCTACCTTAAAGCCAAAGAAATGTAGATCAGGTTTCCATTCTTATATTTATTCAATTAATAGAACAAAGATCTATTTCTATTCCTGATAAAATCTATACATTACATTCAGTAATACTCAGGAATGTAAAGATGGTAATATCCACTTATAGAGAGTAAATTTACTTGCTCTTCCTCAAGGCAAATGAACAACAGCCAAAATGGATGGGGGTGTGATTTATTCCTTCCCACTGGCAGCTCTTCACTTCCTTAATTCTTCAGTCTAGTACTTTCTGGCCTCTACTATGGGTTGTGGAGCTCTTCTGCAGAGCTGCAGTGCCCTTTGGAATCACGGGAGGTTCTCAGGCTGTCGTGGTGCAGATAATCTGCACTAGGGTACAGAACAGGACCACCCCAAAGCCAGTGGGGGCACCTTACCTGTCCCCCTTGTCTGCACACCCAGCTCTCTGCTAGCCCAGTGAAACTCTGGATCCGATTTTCCCTCAGGTCTGGGGCACCGAAGTTCAGACACAGAAACATCTTATGAGCGAGACGCGTTGTCCTGACAGCTTCAGTTGTCATGGAGAAATGTGCAGCTGGATTCAGGGTGCCCTGAACTGTGGAGCTATTGGTTGTGTTGAACAAGAATTCAGGCTTGTACTTTTCAAAAGTTGCAATTAGGCTTGATGCCTCATTTGGGGCATGAAAGGCTGATTTGAGGAGGTGTCAAGGTAATCCTACTGCACCTACACGTGTTAGATAAGTGTTGTGTGTGCTCATCTCCTGGGTCCTAAGAACTTTGGCTTATACAGTTAAACTTTCCAAATGCCATGTAAGTTATATATATAAACTTAGATTAAAAAGAAATAAATCGGGGATTAGGAATACTTTGAGATTGGGACATCAAAATGGAGCTGGTTTTAAGGGGCTCAGTTTCAGGAGCATTGAACAGCACCTAGAAGGCTCCTTTAGAGAATTTCAGTGTAGGTCACCAATTTTTTTTAACACCTAATAACTTTTTTTGCAAATAAAATATGCTTCAGATTTCTTTCACCTCGACAGCTTCTACTTAAAACAACAACAAAAAGTTAATAAACCTCGAAGGATCCATTTGAAAACCAGGAGTAAATAATTCATCATTGTCAATTGTGATGTTTTATATAGCACAATGCTTTTCTGAAGAAACTTTCTCTCGATGGCCACCATCTGGTGCAACTCCTGAGGGCAAGTTAGGGCTGTGTAAGAGATCTGCAGGGCCCCCTAAAACACTTCTGAGAAAAAATGAAAGTCTTATTCCAACAGACTCAAGAGAGCTCACAAACAAAGGAGCCATTCAAAGCTTTATCGCAGCTTGGAGTGAGGGTGTGAAGATATTGAGAAAACTATTTAAAAAAGAAAGTCTTCCTGTTGAGGAAGAATGCAAAAGGCAGGTTTCCCACAAGAAGGTAAGTTCAAGGAGCGCTGTCTACTTGACATCCAGTCATTTTTCACTTATGAGTGAAAAGGCTTTCAGAATTTTCTCTCCTCCTGAACACCCTAATTTTCATGCCTAAAAGTGGTATTTTCTTTTCGTGTAAATGCTTCTCTCTTTCTTGTGGTAAACAGAATAAACTGACAGACTGCTCTACTGGCACTAAAATATATGAAGTCAACAAACTGCAAAAGGAGGGAAATTGTCTTTCTTCCACTCTCCATCTGCTGCAGGCAGCTGAAGAGTTACTTATAGCAACCGTAGATTAGGAAAAAAATGCACATTGCTATAGAAATTGCCAACAGTAGACTCACTTGGAGAGCTTGGCTTTATTTGTAGACATTTCCAAACATTTGTTCTTTTTCAGGGCCTGTTTCAAAATCCATCGAAGCCAGAGACAAGACTTCCATTAATTTCAATGGCTTTGGAGCAGATTCCCAGAGGACAGCCTGTGGCACCCCCAGCTCTGGCATTTTTAGCAGTATGTCCATGTAGTCAAACTTCCAGTTGCAGAGGGAGAGCTGGATGATGCTACAGAACACTTTCCTCACAAAAGTGAGCCAAAGGCACCCACTGGGAATGCACAGGCTGTGTCACTAAGCCTGATATGTTTGAGTCTCCTCCATCACACCTGTGCTTGCAGGAATGGGCTGTGTTTCTCATATCTTGAAGGCCAAAGTAGGGGCTGGCTGCCAGCTTCTGCAAAGCCCGGCAAGTCAGCAGGGCCCCAGAAGAAGCAAAGACTCTGAAGAAAATATCATGCGAATATACAGTGGCCAACTGCCTGAACAGCAGGTGCCCCCAGCTCTGCCTGCTGCAGCAGCTTGGATGTAAAACGGTGGGGTTGGGGCTTCCCAAACTGTTGCCTGGGAAGTTTTGTATGTGGCCCAAAAGGGATTCCTAAATTGTAGACATTCCCAACAGAACCAGCTGATAATCATAGATACATGGTCTCTTCCAGGAAGGGGATGGGTGTCTGGGCCAGATCCATCAGATAATTAAAATATGGGTTGGCCTTCTCCTGAGCAGGGAAACCCAGTTGGAATAGTCACATCTCAGCTGCTCCATAAGCTCTCCCTATTAATCAGTCAGAAATTCATGTGGGACCTGCTCCAGTGGTTCCACAGCTGAAGTCTTGATTCGCAGGTGTGGTGAGAAAGAAAACATCCAGAACAGTGTCTATGGAGGCATCATAGTGCATTTTCTTCCCCTTTCCTCTCATCCCTCACAATTGTCCTACCCATTAAACACTTCCCCATGAACTTTATCTTGAAAGCCCTCTTCAAGGGCTTCAGCTTTATCCAGCTGAGCAAGACAGCCACGAACTGGAGGTCCAGAAAGGTCTTGGGATTGAAGATCACTCTTAGATGTTTGACTGGATGCAGTGCACATACTTGACTTTGGCAGGAAGCTTTAAAGCTGGGGCTGCACTGGCACAGTGTAGGTGTGGACATTGCCTTCAGCTCCCCGGTGCAACAATGCAGGAGGCATTTCTGCAATGCAGGAATCCATCCAACATCTCAGATTCCCGCACCTCTGGGATGCAGTAACTGGCTCACTGATCCATGGCTAAATATAAGTGCATGTTCTTTCAGTTTTGGGTTATGGTGCCATAAATTAGTAATAATGGCATCAAATCCAATGGAGTTAATGCCAAGGGCAGGAGGATCACGATAGCTACAGATCCTTCTTTGTGCTGTGTTTCTACTGAGGCTTTGTAAACCTGATGGGTATCTTTCATAAGGAAGCTGAGGTGCACTTAGGGATTTCAGCTCCTAAATGTTGCTGGGCTTGCTTCCTGAAGTCCATCAGCAGCCTTTGGAATGTGCACATAGGGCTCCCAAGTAGTTCTGATGATTAAGGCAATATTTTCATCTTTTCTAAATCATTATTTTAACTTCAGGCCTTCTCCTCTGCCTCCCAGCAGGTATAAATACTGTAGCTCTATGAAGTTGAGCAACTTAGCTTTTAAGGGATGACAGGAGGATTTCACTTGAGGTGTGGAATTCTAAGACAACAACAGTTCAAAATGAAACTTTCTTGGAACAGCTGAGATTAACCTGCATATGTGTAAACAGGTGGGCAGGATGAATACGATTCAATAATGATAGACATTGCATTAGCATCCAAAAGAAGCACCTCAAACAACAATTGTTAAAAATAAAGCAATGCAAACCCATTAAATAGTTTTAAAATTTTTAAATTGTATCTAGAGGAGCAGTATGTGTTTTCTCATCTCATAACTCCTTGCTTTGCTCACTTTCCTCATTCTCCTCTCATTCCTATTATTGTATCTCGTTGTTGTTGTTAGAAAGACCTCCAGCTTTAACGTTTGCACAATGATGCCTTTGATGGAGGAGCTTTATCTCACTTTCCCACGTGTCCAACAGCAGCATATATCAACTTTATCTTGTCTGCTCATGAGGAAAGCAATGCTTTAATGTGTTCCCTTCAAACTGATCCCGCCTGGGATGTGACATTTGCACAATGGGCCTCACAAGGCCCTTGCAGTGGCTTAGCACCAGCACCTGTTGTGTGTCTCCTCAGACACAATCACCATTAAATATTGCAAGCAACCCGTTCCATGCTCTGTTGCTGCTGCTGTGGGAAGCAGCAAAGGGGAGGAATGCTGATGACGTGACAGGGATGACATCTCAAGTTTTTGAAGAAGGCAGCAAAAGGAGTGGTGGTGTGGTAAGCAGGACGAGTGCCACACGGGGCACTGAGCTGGGAATGTGGTTGGGGATTGCAGTTCTGGTTTCTCTTGCTGGATGCTTGGCTGGGGAGGAAGCAACTGATGATGAAGGAATCCCCTGCTCAAAGTACCAGCAAGCTTTCAACCGTTCCTGCTACGAGTTTGTGAGACTCCAACAAACCTTCACAAGTGCCCAGAGCTGGTGTGAGAGAGGAGGAGGGCACCTTGTCTTTATTCAAAATGAGGAAACTCAAGAGTTTTTGCAAAAACATATTGCTGAGGATCAGGAGTGGTGGATAGGACTGATCTCAAACTCCTTCCAGAACGAAACTACTGACGGTAGGTGGTTTTAGAATCACATCTTTAAATCTGTATCAGCCCGTGATGCTTTCTTTACATGGTAGAAAATGCAATCAGTCCCTCTGTAGATATCTGCTGAGAAGCCTCTGTCTTTTGTTGCTGTATCTTCAGATCTATAGTAAGATGTTTTTAATTGCCTGCTTCACTTCCCAGTTGCATATTATCCCCCTTTCCACTGGGTCTTGTGGTTGTGTGAACACGTGGTTTATTAGATCAGCTGCTGACCCAGTGAAACAAAAGTGCTGGGTTAGGTCTCCAGTGGAAGAGCAGGCTGAGCCAATTCATCCCACAAGGAAGTGCTGCAAGGCCTGATGCAAGCGAAAGGGTGGAATCTTGAGGCTGGGATCACAGGACAAAGTGGCAGTGTCTGTTTTAATGATTGTATCAGGTTCAATATAAAATGTAATTGAAGATCCTTACCCAGACTAAATCACCTCTTCAGTAGGAGCAGGGCTACAATCCTGCTCTGCAGGCTCTTAATTGAATTACTGTAGAAAATAAACATTCAGGACACAATTTCTTTGTTCACAGGGTCGATGATTTGGCTGGACACTTCAAATATAAGCTACACTAACTGGTACAAGGATCAGCCATCTTCCATCTCATCTACATGTGGGTACATCCTGAAGAATGCCAAGTATCAGTGGGGTGTGACTGAAAATTGCAGCCAGGAATTTGACTTCATTTGTGAGTTTGGTAAGATACACAAGAGCTGGAATAGCACAACTGGGCATAAATTGCCTTGTTGCTTTCTAAGTACCTGGGCAATAACTTCATCAATCTTATTAAATGCAAACAAGCAAAATATAACCCCAGCAGTTGCTCTTTTTCCAGTGTGCTGTCGTAAGACTTGATCCAAAGAAAGAAGAACCCAGAAATCATTGGGAGATGCAGGTGCTCAGCAACCCACTGTTGAGGTCCAGGGTGCCAGCAGAGGGCTAGTGAAGCAGAGATGGGTCTGAGAGTGAATCTCATGTGTAGCTGTCCATGACCACAGAGGACATCAGCTGGCTACTTTAAAGCATGGTTGCAAGAATAAACTCCCACATCCCCACAGCACCTGAGCGAGGTGGGACCTGTATGACTGCCCTGTAAAGACACTCTTGATCATAAATGTGTGCCAAAATAATTTCCATTTGTAACTGAAGCAAAAATACAGCCAGGCTTCCAGAGAAACCACTCCTGGCAGCCTGGAGTGAGCAAAAGTGAGAGCAGGTTTTTCCTGTTTCTTCCTAGACCCCTCCATGAGGTGAAGTTCAAGGGCATCCCTGGGTTAAGGAACCAGACAGGAACCTGTGCTTCCTGATGGCATTTTAGTGCTCAGGCAGAAAATCTACAGACATCGTGTCCCTTAGATTGTGCCTTGGAACAAACAGTCCTGGAAAGGAATGCCTGCAATATCATCCCCTTCAACATATAGATATGAGGGGAATTTGTGTTCCTCGCACTTTGCACATAAGTACTTTAAACTGTAACTAGAACCGAGGTCATAAGCACTGGAAGGACAGTCTGGCTGTGGGCTCACTAATATAAAAAGACTTTGAATCAAGTATGCAAGTACAGGTTTCCACAAGCCCTAGAAGTGCTGCTGCCCTGGTCCAGCACTCTTCTACTTCTGACATTAATACCAAGTTGTTCTGCAATAAGCAAAGCTAATAATGTTTTATTTCCTCTCCTGATTTTCTGTTCCACATCCCCTCCCTGCCCTCCTCCTCAACACTCCCAGTTCACTCCCAAATCCCCAGCATGTCCCACCTCTGCAAATACTTTTCATTCCCTCAGCTCCCTCCCCTGCAGCTCTGCAGCTGCCCCAGAGCTCCAGCTGTATGGGTTGGCCAGTGGAATCCCACACTGTGGAACAGATAAACAGGGTTATAATCCCTAGTCCTAATAGAAGTGATGATGTAGCTCTTTCTCTTCTCCCTAGCAATTGCTTTTCATGAAATTTTAGGGTGTTTTGAGGTTTATATCAAATTTGGCTGAAGATGACTAACATTAAAAATGATTGGGGGAGAGGAAATTGGCAGACAGCACAATCCCTTAAGCTTATTTTCCTTGCAAAAACAGACTAAAATTATTTTTCCATTACAGCCACGGTAGACAACTGTCTGCTTGCAAGGAAACTATCATCTGTTACCATAGGATCTGACTTAGAGCCCATTAAATTCAAAGAGAGTTTGCATTATTGGGCAACAATATCCTACACTACATCCATCATTCCACTACCCAGGAAACCAGATTGTTGAGGCAATTATAGCCTTGTTTTCAGTATCTCCAGCCCACGTGCATTCACACATGAGTAAAAGAGTCCTCTTTTACCAGCTTTGCATGCAAGGAATTAGATCCAATATCCCAAAGAAATGGGAAATATTTTCATTAGCTTCTCTGGGTGATAAATGTTTGGAAATTCCCATAACTTGACAGTGCCTCAGTTTTTCTGTAAAATGGATGTAGTGGTGCTTCACAGCTTCATACATGGCTACTGTGAGCTTGGTGCTCACGAACACTGAAATGAATAGTGGCTCCATATAGTACCAATATTTGAATTTAATCTCTCTGATGCCTGGGAACTTGTCTACTTGATCATCTGAGCTAGGAATATGTGCACAGTCAACTGAGCAGACAGCGTTCTGTCTTCATCCTTTCTTTGCCCATCAACCCGAGCATTATTTGTGTTTCTTATTATTTCAATTCTACCATTTGGTGCTCTGTGGGTTAGCAATTTATTGTAGTAAATATGTGTGTATTGAACCAGGGTCTGTACATAGGAATGCAAATCAGGTTTTGTGCACCTTTCCATGTAAAAGTTGCTGAGACAGCAAATACTGCAGGAAATCTTTATATAAAGTAAAGAACCAAAAAAATGCACGAGGTAATAGTCTGGACTAGAATTTAACAGCAAGTTATTTTTCAAGCTTATTTAGAGAGCTCTAATCTGTAAACTGATCATGTTGCTATAGTTACAGCCAGGCTTAGCCTTAGCCTTTAAATAACAATAGCACACAATTATTGCAGTGTGCACACACTGGCACAGTTAATAGAGGGACCTGAGGGGAATGATCCAAACAGCAACTGGAGGACAACTTATTTAAACCTGGGACAGCTGAAACAAAAACATTCTTTTACAACACTCCCATATGGGAGCAGTCTTTCACATCCTCCTCTTCAGGGTATTAAGTATCCTGATTACTACAGGATACTAAGAATTCTGACAGATAATTAACTGTCCTAGATTAATCAAAGAATGAGGTGTATGCATTTAGAGCTATGACCTTACTCATCTGAGCAGTCCTGCTGAATGAAGTCAGTCAAATATCACACAGGAACAAAGGTGTCTCTGTAGCAGAAATGGGATCAGGTCCCATACTTAATATGCAAACTATTCTCCTCAGCAATTACCTGAAGATTATGCAAATCACACACCGCCACAAGGCTCTTTCGGAAGGAAAGAGTAACTTTAAACCTTCCAGTACTGCAAGTCAAAAAAATGCTAAGACTTTTCCCCCAAAAAAAGTTTACTTTTTAGATTAAAATATTTTTGTTTTTTGAAAATGTCCTCAATGTTTTGTTTAAGGCAGTTAAAGCATAAATCTATTAATTTTGACTTTAAAAAAAAAAATTAGTTATTATTTGAGTGGGTTTTTTTTTTCATTTTCTTAATTGTTTAGCTTAGAAGGGAGAAAAGGGAAGAAAGAGAAACAAAAAAAGGGGACATGCAGTAGAACTGTAGCAGGATTTTTCAGAAATGCAAAAAGTTAGATTTTTATTTTTTTTTCCTACTAGAATCTGGCCAGAGCATTGCTTGTGATAATTACAATGCCACTGTGCAGTGTGGATCTGGAGAAGTTATTCAAATTGGAGAGAGCTTCTATGGACGGAAGACCCCTCATTACTGTGTGTCTGAGACTCCACTCCAGGAGGATACAGACGAAGGCTGCAGCTGGATCAGTGTCAAAGATGAAGTAGCAGGTAATTTATGGCATTCATTGCTTGTCAGGAACAGAGAGTATGTGCCAAAGTTCCTGGTCCCTGAAGTACTTCATCTTGTATTTCAGTGGAGTTTGTGAATGGGAAAGTGGATTATTCCTAAAATGAAGGGAGTCACAGAGAACTGACAGGGAGGAGGTTCCTACAGGAGGCTGGATGGAAAGAGGGACTCTGGGAGGAACAAAGATTCTGAGAAGGGGAGGAGGAGCAAATGGAGAACCTGGCTCCTCTCGCAGTGTGAAGAAGTATGTGGGCACATTACTCCCTGACAAGCTCAGTGGGAGATGCCAGGGTTGGCAGAGATGGGAAGAGGACACATCCAGACAAACCCAACTCCAACCCAGGAGGGTTGACACCCACAGGAACATGAGGGCAGGAGGGACCTGCTGCTCCCTTCCATGTGTGGAGCACCCAGCCCGCTGGGGCCAAGGGCTCTGCTGCTTCCCAGACTAAACAGTGACTATGATCCATCCCTGTGGGGATTCTTTGGGCTTTTTACCTGCTCTAACTCAGCTTTATTCCAATAAAATAAAATGGTGCTAAGAAACACCAGGCATTAAGCAACACACTGCAGCCAAAGTGATGTGGAAGTTTGTCTAGAACTCAGTGACATGGTACTGCTTCTCCTCTGCTTTTTGTTCCTCTGTTGTGACAGTCAAAGACAAAACCCACCAGTTGATATAAAGCTCTCCTTCTTTCCAGGCCAGTGTCACGGTCTCCAGGCCTGCCAGGTGACAGCAGATGGCACTTTCTTTGGAGATCCTTGTCCAGCTTGGGGAAGCTATTTGTCTATTCAATACCACTGCAAGGAAGGTAAGAGGGAGGGGGCTGGCAACACCAAAAGCCTGCCCTGCTCTGTGCTGGAACATTGTGACCATTGATATTTATCTTAAAAATCACTGCTCCATCCTCAGGGAAGAAACTGGAATAGCAGTGACCACTAAAAATAAGCATGAAAATGTAGAGGGGTTTGGATAGAATACAAAGATAGAATACAAAGCTTGGAAATCCAGACACATAAAACACACTAGAATGAAATTATGTCCAACAGGAATCTTGACCAGCAGGTATGGAAAAGAATCAGCTCCCTGTCACACCACCAACACACACAAATCAGCAGCAGCATCAACTCTGTTTTGGAGCAGGCTGGCTCTCAATGCATGAAAATGAATTAAATTACGTAAGAAATGCAGGCAAACACTGGCATGGAGTTCTTCATTCTGTTTTACAGGTCTGCAGCTGGTTGTGACAGATTCATGTTTTGTCTTTGAAAATATCACGGTCAGTCTGAACTGGCTGCTCTCACCATACTCTGGCAACCTGTCCTGTACCATCAGCACTGGAGATGGTCACACTATTGATCCTTACTACCCTCCAACGTAAGATATATCCTTCCTGTATCATCACACAAACACTACATTTCATTGCTTGCACTTTATTGAATGTTCCCAGTCTCATAAATGATATGTTAAAAACTATGTAGATTAATAATAGGCCATAACTACAAGACACTTGGATCTGCAGAACCCTCTTTTGAAATTGCTACAAAATTTTATGTCAAGCTGCCAACCACAATATTTCTTCTGTTTATTATAACAAGTGTTTCCTAGTTCTAAGAGAATTTATTCCAGATCCTAAGGCTCAAAATTACTGAAAACATGTCAGTAATTGCCAAGGAACATGCAAACATTATTTTCTTAACTTTAAAGAGTATTTTTTGATAACATTTAAAATACAACAAGGACATTCTGGACTTCTTATTTTTTTTTTCAACTGCATAAAAATTCTGTCTTTAAGAGATCAACCCTTTTTCTGTTGGATTTAAAAATCAGATTCTGTCCAAGTGCTGAGAATGACAGAGAAGGGCTCTAGAAATTTATTTATCTACTGATGGAATCCTACGTGAGTAACTAGGAAAACGAAGAGTACAAGAATGAAAACCAAAAAGAATTAATGTACTAGAAATAGTAAACTTTCTTTCAGAGCTACAGACACAGGCCTGTAGCTGTAAAGAACTTGAAAAGAAAATCTTTAATAGCGAGCCTTTATGTAAAATATATTTGCCAGCTGTAAGCAGAGGCTTGCTGGTTTTATGGGAAGCACTTCACCTACTCAATAGCTCACAGACATGCTCACCTGTGTTCTGTGTCCAGTCTGATACCCACTCTTACAGGAATTGCCTTTTCTGGTCTGATCTTGTCTTTGGCATGTTTTGGAAGTCTAGTTAGAGTGAAACCTGTTTCTTTGTTTAAACACCTAATGAAAAATATGCATTATCAGAGGTGATATGTCCTGATCTTTGCATTTACTGGGTGATACCGTGGTAAGAATCTAAGGAGTTCAGAGAGAAGAGTGTTGGGAATATTACTGCTTTGCCTTCCATGGTGTTTGTAATTCAGGAAGGATATCCTTGGGCTCTTTGCACCATCTCCCTACGTGTGTTAGTGACAATAGCAACCCTCACAGCCATTCACCTCCCACTGCTGTCCTGACTGGAGCTGCACCAGACCCAGGAGTGAAGAGACATTTTTGCTGGCATGGGCAAGGACAGAAGCAGCTGCACCTGAAACCTGTCATCTCCCTACTTGACAACAAAATGTACCAACCCTTATAGATGTGCTTTGGGAATGACCACCCTGATATACAGCCCTAATAACACCATAGATGAAAGAAGGGGACAATCTTCAACCCCACAAATTCTATGCAAATAAACAAGGGATTACAGTGATTGCAGGATTGCTGAGCCAGGTCAGAAATTTGGGAATGTGACCAGTGTTACCATGTAGGGTGAAGGACTTCCCAGGACAGGCTTCCACAACAAGCAGCTGTTCTCTTCCTATTCCAGGCTGGTCAGCAACATCACATACAGATACTCCTCCCCTGGAGAGTTCACTGTTTTTGTGGAATGCACCACCAGTGAATGGCACGTGATGGCACAGAGGCAGGTGACTGTCCAAGATAAGATGGATCAACTGAGCATTACTGGGTGCTACAGCCAGTATGAAACTGGGAACAGCTCTCACTGCCGTGCACTGTATGGGGAGGTGTTGTGGATTCAAGTGGAACTCAATGGAGGTGAGGGTAATTTCTCTGCATAATTTCAAGGGCAGGATAAATATTATGCCACCCATGGGACAGAAGCAAGATTTTCATTATGCAAAGCAATCCTTCTTTTTAGAGAATGCTTTCCCTCTCATTCCTGCAGCTGAATGCTCTCAGCTGCATTGTAGGGCTTCTTTCTCAGAGGTATTTCACCACCTAAAACATAAGTATGAATGATTTTTTCCTATTCACAAAGCTGACAGAGCATGAGCTCTGTCAGAGCATGAACTCTAACTTTAGTCACATAAATCCCCAGGATGCCAGTCAGAATGTTCCTGTATTTGAAGTTAGAAATTCACAGAAATGCTTCTCTGATTGAGGGTAAGAGGATTCCATGCTGAGCTGGGCACATTTGCTGGTGTACATTTCTTTCTCACTTCACGTTTCTGGAAGCCACATTTATGCAGAAAAAATAAAATTCAGTAGTGTATGAATTCTCTTGGCTGCCCAAATAGTACCAGCAGGAAACACATGATAGACTTCAATAATGTCACCTAAAGTGACTTTATTAAAAAAGACTGCATTGCTGCAGTTCTTGTGACTCCTGCATAAATACTGGAGTGCTGCACAAAGCAGCTGGAATTGGTTGGCCTATTACACAAGCTGTGAGAAATTTCGGTGTGTGTTTTTGCAGGCAATGGAGTGACCTACATTATGTCAGCAGATAACATAACACTGGCTGAATCCAGCATAAAGGAAGGAATTGCCCCTCATAACCTGACACTGGACAGTGCCTCTCAAGAGCTGCTAGGCCCAGGGATACATCAGCTGGAAATCCGAGCATCCAGCAACACGACGGCGTCAGAGATCTCCGAGACTTTTGCTGTTCACTTAGTTGAGCCAATATCTGGGCTTCAGGCTGCATTGGCTTCCCACACTCTGCAGCTGGGGGAGAATTTGGAGGTGAATGTCTCTGTGTCTCGTGGTGCCCCAGCTGAGGTGACGTTTGAGGTGATGGGATCGAACGGAACTCACTCTCACACGGAGGATGGTCCTCGTGGGGAACCTCGGACGTACGTGGTTCCCCTGCACTCGGAAGGTACAGCACTGACACCTCCTGTGCTTCCCAAACACTCACAGCTCAGTAGAGCTCACAGAAAGGCTCACAGCATCCTGGGCTGGGGGACAAAAAAGTACAGCTGAATTTGGTGGCTTTTCTGACTGCTAAACTTGGTGTGCAGAGCAGTGCGAGCAGCACGGTCATAGTGACTTGTAAGGGAGCTAAAAGGCTTCACCCCAGCCTTGCAGTGGAAAAGACACAGTAAAAAGACATAGGGTTTATTTTTTTCTGACACAATCTGATTCAAGTACAAATGAGGACATTTTCCTGGATCACAAAGTGTTTTCCTCCTGTTTATTCATATGTGTAACATTTCAAGTTTAGACTCCTCTGCATTTTACACTGAAGTAATTAACAATCTGCGGAGTTCTCAGTAGAGATGTCAAAGAAAAGGGGAGCTTTTCTGTGTGCCCATTTCTAACATGTAGTTTTTCTTGGACTCAATTATGAACAAGCTTTTAAGTAATATTTTCTTTCCATTACTAAGTAATCAAGGCCTTTAAAATGTGAAATTAAGGAGTTTGTACTTAGGAGTTAATTCAGTGGCAGAAGATAAAAAAATTCCATCTTCCAGTGAACTATTCCAATCCTGTGCCAAGGTTGGAACAGTAGAAGCTAATCATAATTTCATTTGATGTTTTAAAATTATTCAATATTTAAAGTTTTATTAGGTCTTCCTGTACCCATCTGAACATCCCATTCTTTGAGGCAGAAATTTTCAAACGAGACAGCTGCTCTCTCAAGATGCCTGAACTCATTTGGACTTCAATATTTTTACACCTCTAGTTTACTGTGTGATAATACAAACAGCTGGCAAAGAACAGCATGGCAAGGGCTAGGACAAAGGCAGATGGATTATCAGAAGTTGAGATAAAGGGGAATGTTCCTTGAAAAACCTTCCAGTAGAGGACACCTATCAGAAAACCCCCTGAAAACTCTTAACAGAAAAGAATAGGATTTTCTATACAAATTGGATGTTATTCCCCAAACCTGATAGACTGGTCCCACTGCTACTCTTAACTGGCCATTTGTCTTCTCTAGGTATTTTCCTAGTGAAAGTGGTGGCCAAGAATGCCTTCTCAAACATGAGTCTGGATCTTGGATTCATCACTGTGTTGGCAAACACTTCCCATAAAAAAGGTAATGGCATTAATCTGACAGTGCTGGTTTTGACCACACTTTTTGCAATCAGAGCCCTTAATGGAATATTTATGGTTTGCATCTAGTAATTGCTTTCCTTCCAGCAACAGTGCTGAAAACTTTTGTGGAGGCTTCTTCCTGATGAAGGCAGATTCCTTGACTTTGAAGTAGTCATAAATTAGCATCACCCTGGATATGCTACACATTGCTCATTTGCTGTTTGTCCTAGAAATAATTAGGGGAGTTTATGGCTCAGGACACAGCTTTGAAACCAGAAAATATTTGCATCACAGCAGTCTCATAATTGCTGTCAGTAAATGCTTCTAGATGGCTCATCCTTACATTTACAAAATCAGATTATACCAGGAACAAAGTAACCTTAGTTCTAATTGTATTGAAACTTCCCCAGTGCTTCCCCCCAATTTTTCTTTGTACAGCAATGAAACTCCATCACCTTCTGTGAATATATTTTGATTTACACCACTATGTTTGAAGAATCAGGATCATCTTTACAGTCTGTGATGAGCTTGTTGTTACAATTTTACCTATTTAACTCGACTGCTCTAGAGTCTGATTCTTACAGCCCTGTCTTTCACAGTGTCAGTAGTCAAACCCTGTGGATTTAAGTCATCTTCACTGAGGATGTCTGAAAGCTTTACAGGTAGCACTAAAATATTCTGCTCTTTTTGGCATTAAACAGGTTCTGCTAAGGAAGAAGGCAGCTACAAAACAAATATCCAAAAGGCAACTGTAAGTATTATTCAAGGATCTTTCTTTAAAATTGAAATACATATAAATTTTTCTTGCCATTGAAAGTGCTGCATAAGACATTGGAGAGAAGTATTCATGTCTTAGTAGATTAGGGACTAGGTGTTCTGTGCCCCAAATGGTTTAACACAAAACCTACACTAAAAGTCTTGGAGGCAAATGTGTTTGCAGGCATTCAATCTACAGTTCATAAAAAAATATTAAAGAAAATGAACTTTTCCCAGCAATTCGGTTTTGGAAGCTGAAATTTGTTTAGATTAATTTTTAATTAATCTACTTGGATATTGCAAACCTCTCCCTGAAGGGTGATCCTTCAAGCAGAATTTAATATATTTTTGTATTGTTTCCAAGTGTTTTCTACTTCTATATTGAAATTAAAAAAAAATTTGCAATGAAAAAAAATCCAGTTTATGGCAAACTAAGAAGTTAAGGATACATCAATCGCTAGCAGCTGTTCAAATTGAAAGAATAAAAATGCCAGATTGAATATTTTATCATCTTAGAGGTCTAGTTTGTAACTGTAACTCTGGCAGACAGACATCTGCAACAGGAGATACGATACTTCACAAGAAGGCATCGTGCTTTACAGATTGCCTGTAGGAATATATTGCATCAGAGGAATATAAATCTAATTCTAAACCAAGTTTATTACAGTTTGTTGCCCAGAAAGACAAACTCAGCTATCTCCCTCTTCTCTTTATCTATAACTGTAATGTATCCAGGTCAGATAAAAGAGAGATGTACTAGAAGGTGCACTAGAAAACAAGGGGTTGTCCAAGGGTTAGAAGTCTTGCTCCAGATGTCAAGAATTAATAGGAATTAGTTTTCTGGGACCTGCATTCCCAAGCCACTTCTGCATTCAGGAGAATTTTAGCACACGATTTGTCTGTGCCATCTGCTTCTGTTCCCACAGCTTCTACTTCCAAACTACCTCTGATCAGGGAAAGACCATCTAAACCACAGATCTTCATCCAGTCATTTGGGGTCTAAACTTTCAGATCTTTTTCATTATAAAGATTTGTGTGTGGTTATACACACTTCTGTCCTAACTGATACATTTATTATTATTTAGGATCACAAAAGAGAACCCAAAATCTATGTTAAACCAAGTCGCCACGTGGATCCTTTCACAACTGTTACACTTGGCTGGCCAGACAACAACAGTAATTCCAGTTTTCTCTGGTCCTGTGGTATGTGACTTTCCTGAACTTTTTTCACCAGCTTCTACTTTATGAGTAACAAACTCACTGTCCTGTCAGATCAAGTGGTGAAAATCTGACTAAAGGATAGTTTGTTTTCTGGCTTTAAAGTTTGCCACTCACTGTACATGAAGAATGTCCTTGTACCTTACCCTGGTGTTAACACCAAACTAGTCATGGCATAATACTCAGCTTTGCCTTCTCCCAGAGGTTTCAATTTTTCAGGGTCTGCCTTTTCTAAGCTTTCACCCTCATAGTCAAGGATTAGACCCAAGTGACTTATATAGTTAGGCATTTGCAAGCTACATGTATCTCAATAAAACAGCAATTATTAGTATTAAACATGATGCAAAAACATTTCTGGCTGAAAATTGGATTAGGACATCTGTGTTCTGTCCCCATAATTATCCTTGACCTCATACATTACTTTGAAGAGGTCAGCCTATACTCTGAACCCAGATTACCAACTCTATAAATTGGGTTCAGGAAACTTTTTTTGTTCTATCAAGCTCTTTAAAACCTATAGTAGGAAAGTCCTTTATAAGGTACTATTCTAATTATAAAGGAAATGTTTGTGCAGGAGCTTGCTGGCCTGCATGGAATGAATGTGTGCTGCAACAGATAATCCTAACCAACCAATCTGAGGTGCAAATCCCACCTTCCTGCCTTCCTCCTCCGAAATCAGCAGTGACTGTCAGGATTACAGTCCGAAACCACGGCAGTGAAGAGAGGCAGGACGAGCAGTGTCTCTATGTGACTGCAAAACAAGAACTGCAACTGGAAATCAGGTCTGTTTTTAAACCCCAGTATTCACTGGGGTTAATGTTATTACTGCACAAATATAGTGCAAGGCCACAGTTACCAATAATAGTGATAATAAAGTGATAATGTACTTTTAGAGTCATAGAATCACAGAATGATTTGGGTTGGAAGGGACTTTAAAGATCATCTTGTTCCACCTCTCTGGCATGGGCAGGGACACCTTCCACTAGCCCAGGTTGCTCAGAGCTCCATCCAACCTGGCCTTGAACACATCCATGGATGGGGCAGCCACAGCTTCTCTGGGCAACCTGTGCCAGGGCCTCACTGCCCTTAGAGTAAAGAAAACCTATTGTTGTAAATCCATTTACAGCTGTAAAAATGCTGTCTTGCTGTTTTCCAGTCCACATTTCTGAATATAATCATTTTATTAAGTGATTAATATTCTTCCCAAAACACTTTGACTCCCCTACAGCCTTTCAGTGTTGGAGATTTCCATATGCAAACCTCATTGAAACTATGGGCATAAATGCCATATGTCTGAAATTTCTACTAGACATCTCATACAGTTACTACATGTAAATCCCCTCTTACTTCCTTACAGGTGTGAGGCAAACTGCAAACCAGTGAATATTAGCAATGAAGTTGTTTTGAGTGTCTCTGGACAGAAGGACTCCCAGGCCATGCATTATAACTGGTATTTGGATAACACATCCCAAACCAAGGTGAGAGCACCAGATTTGTCAGAAATACTGCACACACAAAGATAAATGTCCACCCTGAGGGAAAGCCACAGAGGGACACTTTGTCAAGTGGACTCTTTGAAAATACAAGTGAAGATTGAGACAAGGGGGTGCCTGGTTTGGGAAGGGTTATAATGAAGGGCACCAAACTGCTACGCTGCTCCTGATAAATCACAACAGAAAGCAGAGCAAAGAGCCTTTTTGCTGTCCAGAAAACTGCCATGTTTTCTTTTCTGTCTGATTTTCCAGTCTACAACCCTCCCTCTGGCCTGTGGCCTGACTGGTTTCCGGCAGAACTCTTTGAATTTGCTTCAAAGCAACACATCCGTGCTGAGAATGAACAGCTCCTTCTTGCAGACACAGGGAGAAGCTTTTCAGATTAAAGTAACAGGTAGGGACAAGCAGGGTTTTAGGGCTTTTCAGACTCCTTTGAGATAATCTCCGCTGTCATGACATCACACTGACGTTACACACACACAGTCTCGCTGACAAACATGAAGGAAAATTAGTCCACAGGTTGAAAGCTGTTACTTTATATGTGGGTTCTTTAAAATAATGCAGAGATGAGTTTTTTCTGGGCTGTTGCACAGCAGGACAGAATCAGTTATCTTACTGCAAGCTGTCAATAACTTTAAGGCTCATCCAAAATGAAGCTATATTAACCTTGATCAAATAACACAGCTTTGCTTTATAATGCAAGCATTACTATATTTTTAATAGTTCTTTTCCTCTTATGGTTTGTTCAGTAGCAGGATTTCGTTTCTAATTAGGCCCAGCCTGATGTTTGTGGTGCCTGGAGGAGCAGCACCGTTGCTAAGTAGGCACAGTGAGTGCCCGGTACTGCCGGGGCACGATCATTGCTGACGTTCTGCTCCCTCCGCTCCCAGCAGTGACTCGGCACCGCTACGGGGAGGGGATGTACCTTGTCAGCACCGTGCCCCCGCCCGGCATCCCCGCCTGTGCCGTGTCTCCCGAGCAGGGATCCGTGCTCACCACCTTCAGAGTCTCCTGCAGCGCTCCCGGCTCGGTGGGTTCACCCCAACCCGGTCCCAACAGGCAGCTCACGTACTGCTTCTACCTGAAACCAAGTAAGTCCCCAGGTGAACTGTTTGGCTCCTGCACAGTTCCAGCAAGCACCGCTGCTTCACCAGCAAAAGCAAAGGTGTCACCTGCCCTCTCTGTGGGGAGACTGATCCCGCTCTGCCCAGAGCAAGCCCGGAGTCCCCTGTTTGCAGAGAGCAGGAGGTGTCTGGCTGCAGTCTGGTAGCTCACCCCCTCTTTCCTCTTTCAGACTCTCTCCTGGACTGCAGCCCGGATCCTGAACTCTTCCCAGTCTATCTTCCACTTGGAGAAGAGGAAAATAATTTTATTGTACATGTGACAATCACTGTTAGCAACACCTTTGGTGATACAGTTCAAACAAATGCTTCAGTGAAGGTACACAGTGGAATTACTTTTTTCAAGAACTCTCAAGATGATACCTAACCCATGATTCACTTTTGGAGCTTGTTCCTATTTTTTTGACATATCACTTCCTTCTGAATGTGCCATAATCACTATTTTCCTATCTAACAAAGACTATTCTCTGTGTGCTCAAGGCAGTCAGAAGTATCTTCCACTGTCCTTTTTCTAGGACAGAAGTTTAAAAGATGATCTGTTTGGACCTTGGGCAGCATAAGATGTATTTAGTGAGTCTGGAGTTACTCTGTAGGCCCCAAAAAACTCCAGCTTCTTCCCCAGTGCCCCAGTAAGAAAATCCTTATCAGGCCATTAAAAATAAAACATTTAAAACTGGGAACATGAGGTTTTATGTCCCACTGTAGCTAGGCTGTCATCAAGATGATCATGGAAGCTGTTCAAAGGTAATTATAACAGTGTTGGCAATGTTGAGAGCATATCTGATTTCTTCATCAGGTTGGACCTGCAGATGGGATGGATGGGAACCTGACCCTGCAGGGCATGGTATCTGAGAAGGCAAACACCATTCTAAAAGATGGGAACAACAGCATGAGCCTTTTCCAGCTGTACAAATCAGTGACATCTGTCCTTAACCAGCAGACCCAAGAGGAAAGCTTTAACATGTCTTTGCAGACAAAGACACGAAAAGAGGTCAGCCAGACACTTGTTCTCTTGCAGTACAATGTCATATAATGGACTCTTCATATTCTTTGACAACTCTTAAGTTATAAAAAGCTCACATATCACCACCTGAAATCAATGGAGGTTTCAAGTTTCTAGCATCTGTCTCAGTGTTTGGCACAGCTTTCAGCTATTTTCACTATTTGCCTACATAAAAAATTTGTCTTACCACCCACCAGTAAAATAATTAATTCTCGTTATTGCATTAATCTAAAGTAGTTAACTTAAACCCAATTTTCCACAAACAATTTCAATATCATTAAAATGGCCTCTCCTGTGGGATAAATACCCTATCCAATTTTCCCCAAAAGCACTAGATGGCAGGTAATTTTCTCTTGGCCATTTCAGCTACCAGTTGACATTTCAGTTGTAAACTGATATTTGTACAGTGCTTTGAGTGCCTCAGATGAAAAGATGGAGAGAAACGCAATGTATCCTTCAATTATGATTCATTATTTGAATAACATCAATCACACATAGCTCTGCTTTCTCTGCAAGTGGCATTTACACAGTCATTCACATACATTAGTACAAATTCTCACAAGTAACTCTCCGTGCTCTTAATGGATGTGAAGCTTATGAATTCTCTGTGCTGGGAGGTAACATAAAATTCATGATTATACAATTACTGAGGCAAGTGGCATCTTGTCACTAGGCCTAATATCAGTTCAAATGATCCTTGTTGTGGAGTCTTACTCTACTTCATAATTTACAGCAAGCCTGGCTGTCAATATACAGCATTACTTGCACAGTCCTAATTAGTATCTTGTTCCTTTGCCTAATTATCCCTTTTCATCCCAAGCTCCGAGGGCTGATGCTGACAACTCTCTCTGCTGTTAATGTAACATCAATGCAGGCTGCTCTTAAGATGTCAGAGGTGTTGAAAGAAATCACTTCCAGGAGTGAAGAGCTGTCTGTCTCAGCACAGGTAAGACACAATTCATCTTCCATCTCCTCACACTGACAGTGGAGACTCTACTGCATCCCACTGACCTTGGAAGAGATTCAGTGCCTTACAGTTGTCTCTTCTTACCCATATTTTCAACTCTACCAGCATGTCTATTTTGACCAGGAGGGAATACATTTTGCTGTTTAGAGTAAGAAAATTCCACTCTCAGATGTTGTCTCAGCAACCTCTGCAATCCAGGCTACGACCATTACATTTCTCATATATTTTTTTTAGATAGAAACCTTAACTTTTAGTCAGAAACATGTTAGGATGTATGCTTTATCTTGTAAAGCACTTTTAGAACCCTGAAGAAAAACTGTCCAGGAGGGGTTTTTCTAGAATTTCCCACATTCATTTGTCCCTGATCCAGGCACTGCCCAAAATGCACACAGGCAAGCTGTCAGTGAGGCAGAAACAGGGCAGCACCCAGAGCAACTGGGCACAAATGTGCAGATGGGTCTCACAAAAGTATCTCTTGAATCTTATCTGGCAACATGACATTATTAGCAGATGATGCTATTTAAGCTTAAGGTGTGAGCACATGGGAGGAGAGAACAAACTGTCACTGGGGAAGTTTCCCAAACATGCAGGCAATAAAAAGAGCTATTCTGATTTCTGATCTATTGTAGGGTTGGAGCCAGGCAATGGCTTGGGAGCATTTCAGCAGTATGTGGTTGACTTTGGCAAGACAAGAGCATAGCTCAGGTTCAGCCCTCACCCTGCAGTGAGGCTGCTTGGAGTTTGCAGGCTGTGGGAATGGATGTGTCCAAGCTTGCAGTGAACTTGCCTGGCTTCCTCACCATCCTGGGCTAAAAGCTGGCCAGTGCTTTCACACTCACAAAGCAACCACTGGCTGCATTCAGGCACAAAATAAAAATTGTACAACTCATCCTGCTTTGGCACTTGGCACAAAGCCAAGGGTATCACTTGCTGGCAACTCAACAGGGTTTGTGGGAACTAAGATTGAAACATGGATGTGCTTGGCAATATACTGGTATTTTTTAGACAGACCACCCAAAAGTATAACCTAATTTACTGCATTACTGTACATCCTAGCAGTATCCTTCCCCAGCTTCCTTCAGATTTTTTTTACAGATGAAATCTGTAGAAACAGGCTGCATTTCTCAGGTCTGTATTTCATTTTAGTATAGCATCTAGTATATCATCTTTATTAGCATCGGAGGTATTACCCCAGCACAAATAATTATAGTAAAAACAGCCTTAGCCAGTAATAGTGCCATGAGATTACTGCTGTTGCAATATTCAGTAAATGACAGAAGTATTTTCCAAGTATCTTCCCTGTCAGTTGTGGTACCAGCACATCTAAACTGCTCCCTGTGTTTTTCATGCAGGTGGAAGCCAGCAACACTCTGAAAGGTGTCAGTGCTTCCTTGCTCGCTGTAAACCCAGAGGACAGCAGAGATGATCAGAACTTAAAGGAAGCTGCCAACCATCTATTTAATGCAGTCAGCAACGTCCTTAAAGCTTCTGTAGAAATCAGAGCTGCAAACTCTTCAGTGCCAGAGGCAGAACAGGTAATTTTGGTTTGGCCCAGTTTGTACTGGACTGTGTGTGAACATGTTTGCTTTTGAGAGGAGCTCTGCTGCCTCTTGTGTTTTTAAATTGGCACTGGGAAGGGTTCATTGAGACACCATGATGGACTTGAATATGAGAAAAAACATCTCCCCACTTAGACCTGTTACACTGAATGTTTGCTAACGAAGGGGATAGAAGCCTCTAAAGATTTGTTACATTTAAAGCTGGACAGGACAGGGCACTGGAGCATCAGTGTATGACCTCTAATGGATGACAAGCACGTGAAGATTTTTTTTCAGCTTTGGTTCTATCCCCTCCTTTTGCCCCTTAACTCAAGGAAGCCACAGGTATTCAATATTCATGATTGCCACCACTGGAATCAACTCTGGGTCCTGCTTTCAGTTTTCCAGAAAGCCCACTCTGATGCAACATGTTTATTTTGTCCTACCCTTTCCTATCTAGATGTGAATTGATCTGAGTGCTCCCTGGGCTGAATATACTGTAATTTCATCACTGCAAGGGAATAGGGCATGAAAGAAATCTAACCTAGAGAAAAGGTTATGAACTGGTCAAGCTCCCCCAAGATAACACACTACTAACACACAATTGATATGTAATTAGGTCTTGCTTTTCCAAGTACCCAAACACTAAAGTGTGCAGCTAAAGAGCATTAATGCACAGAAGTGCACGAATATATTGACTGATGTCATGTTTGTAATGCTTCAAACATCAATGTGTAGAAGTTATAAATAATAAAATATAAAAGTAAAATCTGTAAGACATTTATTTGCTGTCTGCAGTGTTTCAACTGAGAAACTGAATTGCTGATAGAATGACTTTTTCTGAGATTAAGAAGCACATCACCAAGTTTGTCAGCTTTGGAAGACACTGAAATTTAAAGGAAGCAAAGACAAATGATGTGCAGCTTGATGATTCCGAGTACCTTTGTTGCAAGTTTCCTCCTCTAATCCTTTCCCAGATTTCGGTGTCACACCAGCTCCTGAGTACAGTGGAAAATCTCCAGAGTGCCCTCCTGTTTGGGAAAGCCCCGGATGATGAACCTACAGTGCTCACCACTCCTTCTGCCACAATGTACACACACAGGTAACAGCTGAGAGTTAATCAAATTTGCTCCAAATATTAATTCCATTGTGCTTAAATGGAACCACCCAACTAAATATTGTAGCACAATGACAACTTCAACAGTGCAATGAGGCTTCATTACTACCTGATAGTGAGAACAGCTTGGGTTCCAGTAACATCACCTTAGAATTTCTCATGCTGTGTCGTCTTTAACCAGCAGAGAATTTACTACTATTTCCTGGGAGAGGCAGTAGTCACCTCCCTTTGAAATGATGTAGAAAACTCATGTCATGCCAGTTAAGGGTTTCTTTTCTTTTCCAAGTTGCCAATAATGACATGTTATATAGAACTGTAACCAGCTTGGCAGAAGCAAGTGTAATCCTGAGGAGCCTGACAAGGATTCTCCATTCCTGATAATCATCCCTAAATTTTTCCCCGAGAGCTTGGTTTTCATCCACCTCACACTGTGCATTCAAACCAAGAGCATGTTCACACAGAAACCATGTATGTCTTTCACAGAAGCACACCTTGGGCACAACTTCCTCTCCAGATATGCCAGTTCCACCCCTTTTTTGATGATTCCATGGCACTGTTATGTGCAGTACTACGTCAGGGACAGATTATTGTACAAAGTATTTACTGGCAGAGTTAGAAATAGTTTTGCAACTACAATATACTTGTGAAAAGAGAAAGCTTTTTCTCTAGTTATGAAGTCCATGTTTTTAATGTTTGGTCTTTTTTTGGTGTGTTTTTTTCCCCCCTTTATTTTCTATTTCTTTTCTTATTTCTGTTTTATTCTGCTTTGTTGTGTCCAACCCTAACTGGACAGATTACAAACAGAAAACATGGATGGCACATCCATTAACATCTCCAATTCCAGCTCTGCCAGCTTTACTCTCCCACCTGCTTCCTCTCTCAGTGTTTCAGGACTTGATGATGAAACAGTGGATATAAGGGCAAGTAAACAGCTTTTATCTGACTCAGTCTGATATTCAACTTACACTCCCAATATAATGGGTTTAGAATCTTTTCTCCTTTTACAATGAACACACGAGCACACAAGTCATCCCTCCTGTCATGACAATAATTTGAAATATTTTTGGTAGAAGAAGTCTTCATTTATCTTAATTGCATGAGGTTGTTTCAGCAAGCTAAGGAGGACTGAAAGCTGAACTTCCCCATCCCATCATCCCCTCACATACACTTACACGGCCAGAGAAGGCAGTGGAATGAATCAATACCTATAAATCTATTTGCTGTTTGTTTACACCTTATGCTCTGAGGAGGATGCAACAGCTCAGAGGCCGTGTCACATTCAAACTAAACTGCAGCAGCCCTCCTTCATCCCAGCTAGAAATACATGAGGCACTCAGATCCTGCAGGAGACAAATGTGCTGTAATAACACATTTCCTAATCTAAATTAGGACATGGTGTTTTTTTTCCCCTCAGAACAATAGACAGTATGTAATTGTCATATTTTTATTATAAATTTTCTAAGGGCCTCTCTGCTTGATTTGGCCCTCTCAGGAGAACCCCATAATACCTGCAATAATTTTTTTTTCATTGCATCTTTTCCAACTCTGCTAAAAAAGGGTTACAGAGTATGGAAACAGTAAAGATTGTTGTACACGTCACTTTTCAGAATCAAAATAATTTTGAAGGTTTGTGTTGACCTATCTTAGGGATAAGGTAGATTCTTATTTAGATCTGAATGCAGACAAATCTTGAAAGTTCAGTTCTGTTTGTGTCTGAGCTCAACCTTTCACTCTTCAGCAATTTAGCGTAGGAATATAATGAAATATTGACAATATCTCAGTTGTCTGATTGTTAATGTTTTGCTGACAGATGGTGAGCTTTGCTGTGAACCCCTTTTTCTCCAGTGACACCAGTTTTGACATCAGTGGAACAGTGGGGGGTCTAAGTCTTACTGGTCTGGATGGCTTGATCATACCGGTCAGCAACCTCAAAGAGAACATTGAAGTAAATCCACTATTTTCTATCCCTCTCCCTCTTTTCCCATTTTTTCCTTTCTCCATTAATGAACTGTCATTTGTGTTATCATCTTCTGTAAGGTGAAAACAAATGCTGCAGTGTAGATTACATTAGATAATGGGATGATGTTGTCTGCATTTGTGATGAGGGGATTTGTGTGATGTGATGAATGAAATAACAAATATTTCTGTCTTTTCTTAAAAAGGAGGTATCTTATCCTTCATTTAAATGGATGTGAGAATGAATGTTTTCAGAGGTTAGCTGACATTAGCAAGAAAATTACTTTGAAGCTGATATTTTTGCTGGCCCTGCTTTCCTGCTGTTATGAACAAAGATAATCTAGCACGTGGCTGCATGCTAGGAGCAAAGTGCTTTGCTGTATTTAAACCTCTGTCTTTCTGTTTGAAAACAGATCATGTTACCAAGGCTTTCATCAACTCAGGAAGATAAGATTCTGTTGAATCTGGGCAATTATAGCACTTTCCAAGTCAATGTTACCTCAGAAAACACATCTATAGTGATCTACCTGGAATCTGAACACAACATTCCACTAATACTCTACTTGGGGTACGGTTATCACCCAAATGAGACTAATTATGATATGAAAAAACATCTGTTCTCTAAGAAAGCTGCTGGAGGTAAGATAATGTTTAGTGACCCATGAACTTGCAGAGTGAGCCTTGCCCATGAGTTCAGATGTCCAGCTGGAAAGAAACCTCTCACAGGAGATTCAGTCTGTCGTGCTTCAGGGTTCCAGTCTCTAGTGTGCAGTGTTCACCAACAGGAGAAAGGAGTGGGCTGCTTTGAACAATGAGTTGCTAAGAATTATTTCATATCTGTTTCTTTGGTTTATTTATTACATGCAATACAGCTGCATAGTTCTGAATTAGCATTTCTTCATGCATTGAAACGAAAATGTTTATCTTCAAGGTGAGACAAACACCTGGGTTCTTAGCCCGGAAGAACTCATTTTTGGAGGAGGAACCTACTATTTCATGGTTTTGCAAGATATGGGAATGGATTCCAAAGTCTATGCTGGGCTAACCATAGGTGTCACTTGCTTTGCATCCCGCTGTGTATTTTGGGATGAGCGCCAGGGGAGCTGGAACAGCTATGGATGTCATGTAAGTCGAGCAAAACAAAACAGTGTTTCTGTTACACACTTCAAAGCCAGCCCTTATAACCACCACCTAGTAAAATGATAGCACTGAACTCACACCTTAAAACAAGATCATTCTGAGATGTTTTAATAAACTGAAGAAGTTTAGTCATATTGAACTAAGCTTCAAATGACATTTCCATTTCTATTTCTTGGGATGAACTTCCAAGAAGAAATGAAAAATTTTGACAAGGCCATATTATGTTATAATGCCTGTTACTGGCTACATATTAATGTTCCTTATTGGAATTTGAACTATTCTTTTGTGTACAGCAGTTCTCTGCACTAACTCACCAATCTCAACACTGTCATTTCATTTGCTTGTTAAGTCATCTAATATTTTAAAGCCAAATGTTTTATTGGGATTTTTTTTTTGTGGGTTTCAGGTAGGACCAAAAACAAATCCTAGAAGCACACAGTGCCTGTGCAACCATCTGACTTTCTTTGGGAGCTCCTTCCTTGTCATCCCCAATGCCATAGATGTCAGCAAAACTGCACAGCTATTTGGTACATTTGTGGAAAATCCTGTGGTGGTGACAACTGTAGGATGCATCTTTCTGATATATGTGCTTGTAGTTATTTGGGCTCGAAGGAAAGACATCCAGGATGATGCCAAAGTAAGTCTTCAGCTAATAAAGACTGAATGTATTTAGGTCAATTCCCACCGTGCCCAGGCTGTGTTAATAGGAAGTCTTTAACTTATTCTACTCCCTTCCCTGTAACTCTGTTTACTGGTAAGTAAACGTTGTTCACAGGACAACAAATTCCTGCTCACAGCTTTCAGGAATCCACACTTCCAGACCAGCTGACACACTGCTTGTGTTGTGTTGCTCTGCAGGTGAAAATCACAGTCCTGGAAGACAATGACCCCTTTGCTCAGTATCGGTACCTGGTGACAGTTTTCACAGGACACCGCCGTGGCGCAGCCACAACCTCCAAGGTATTCGTGGCACTGTGTGGGGGAACAGTTTGTGCACCCATTTAGGGAACTGGATGAACAATGGAGTGCCTGAGGCTGTTAAACAGGACAGCTCAATGCATTGCCTAAGCCAGAAAGTCCTTAAGTTTGATGGAAGCTGGAGGAGTATTCCAGAGGAATAATTGTACGTATGACCAGGATGTGCAAATCTTCATCGTGCCATCTTATTTTCCAGGTGACTCTCACTCTCTGTGGAATGGAAGGAGAGAGTGAGCCCCACCATCTAACTGATCCTGATACATCTGTGTTTGAACGTGGAGGAGTGGATGTTTTCCTTCTCTGTACCTTCTTCCCTCTTGGGGAACTGCAGAGTATTAGATTGTGGCATGATAACTCAGGGGACAGCCCATCCTGGTAAGTGGAGATCTGAAGATCCACAAATTTTTCTTTATAATGATAACAATTTTCCTTTTCTAGCACATGAGAATTATCCTTCCTAAAGTTCTAGAAAGAAAAGAAGTGTTAGTTTCTCATTTTTGCCGGTGAATAGGTCAAATCATAATCTAAACTGCAGGACCAGGAGTGCTTCCCATATCCCATGTCCCGTATAGGATGGGATGTGTTCTGTGCCTTACAGTTTAGACACACCCTAAGAAGCCAAAGGCCAGAGTTTGTCCTCCAGAAGTTCTGTCCAGTTCTGAATTTCACATGTGATTGTGCCCTGTATGTTTTTCCAACAGGTATGTGAATCGAGTATTAGTCCATGATCTGGCATGGGATCAGAAATGGTACTTCCTCTGTAACTCCTGGCTAGCCATTGATATTGGAGAATGTGTCCTAGATAAAGTGTTCCCGGTAGCTACAGAACAGGACATGAAGCAGTTCAGGTACCTTTTATTTTATGGACATTTTTAATCTTGATAGCAATCAATCTAGAAGAGCAAGCATGAAAAAGAAAGATCAAACCCCTAGACAAATGTCTTTCTAGTGCTCTGAAAAGGCTCTGAACAAGGAAAAGAGGAAGGATACAGTAATACCACACTGGAAATATTGGTGTTAAAGAAGGATAGCCTGACAAGACCTACAGAAACCCAACATCTTCTCTTACGTGTAATTTCCTTAACAATTTAAATAGAAACTGCTCATGATTCACTTTCCCTCCATGGTGTGGGCAAAAGGAAAGGACATAAGTACCTATGACCACTCCATGCAAATCAAACCACAATATTTGGTAATTTCTCAACGTTATTATTCCTTCTGACAGTACCTACAAGCATGATCAGGTCAGGACACTGAACTACAGTTTTATTCTTTCCTCTCCTTTCTAAGCATCCATTTGATTTCCCTCTCCTCCTTCCCAGCAATCTGTTTTTCATGAAGACCTCCAGGGATTTCCAGGACGGGCACATCTGGTACTCGGTTTTCAGCCGCTCCCCACGAAGCTCCTTCACGCGCGCCCAGCGCGTGTCGTGTTGCTTCTCCCTGCTCCTGTGCACCATGCTGACCAGCATCATGTTCTGGGGCGTGCCAAAGGATCCAGCCGAGCAGAAAATGGATCTGGGTAACAAACCTCACCACTGCTTGGGCAGGGAAATAGAGAGACAGCAGAATGTAGAAGCAGGAGTGTTGAACAAATGGGCTTTTTCCACAAGATAAAACGGATGGTTTATTTTTCATGGGGTTATTTTTCCTCCTCCCCTCTGTTTGACCTTGACAGGTAAGATCGAGTTCACATGGCAGGAAGTGATGATTGGCTTTGAGAGCTCCCTCCTCATGTTCCCCATCAACCTGCTCATTGTGCAGATCTTCAGGAACACACGACCCCGGCCAGCCAAGGAGGGGAGACAGAGGAAGCCGGGGAAGAATGGCCGAGTGTCCCCAAGCGTACCCCTCACCCCAGAGGTCACCCAGGCTGCCTCGCTCACTCCAGAGGCTGTGACAAAGGCAAGTCCCTGCGAGTCCTGCACTGCCCTCTGGTGCCACGCGCTACCGGCTTCCCTGGCTCCACAGCACAAACGTTCCCTGTCAGATGCCCTTCAGCCAGTTTGAAGAGAAAAGCCAATTGCCACGGATGCAAAGCTCTCATTTGCCCACCTAAATGCCATCCACGACTTTGTTAAGAGCTGCCTTTGTACGTCCCAGCCCTTGCACGATTACTGGGCAACCAAATCCCTGTGTTCAGGGGTAAAGCAAACACAAGGCAAGACAGTGAAGATGAAAGGTATCATAGACCCCATCTTTCTCAGCTTAGGTCCCCAGGCAGGTAAGCTGTCCTTTTGAACCCTGAAAGCCGTCTTACTGAACTCACTGAAACCTGCTTGTCACATCCAGCAGTGTAGGATGTGCTATTCTTATCCATTCTGGAGATTTTAGCAATCAGTGCAGCTCCCAGCCAGTGGTGCTGTCAGATCACATCAGCTTAAGCTACTGCAGCCAGAGTCACTGCTGTGTTGCTCTGTCTTTCCTAGGACATAAGAAGAATTGCCAACTCACTCTTGAAAGTCCTGAAGACTCCACCTCTCACCTCAGCATCAGATCTTGGAAAAACAACAAACATCAACTCCCTTCTGTCATTGGTTGAGGACATCATCTGCCAGCAGAACAGAGCTGGGCAAGGGTTTTATGATGGGAGCAAGAAGGATGGCCCTATAATTGTCACTTTAGGTTCTATGGATATGCAAGGTACACAACAGACTGCGAAATGCCCTCTGAAGCCTTTGCAGTGAAAATGATGACAGCACTGGATGGGATGACCCAAGCTCTTCTTACATTCTGACTCAGAGGCAGTTACAGAATTACAGAGCAGCTGAGGTTAGAAGGGATCTCTGGATCCCACCACTCTGCTCAGAGCAGGGTCAGCTGGGGAAGGATTGCCCAAGATCAAATCCAGTCAGGTTTGAATGTCCCCAAGGGCAGAGATTCAGCAAATTCTCTGATCAACCTACTCCAGTGTCCAACAGTCCTCACAATACTCTCCTGTTCAGAAAGAATTTCCCATGTTTTAATTTGTGCCCATTGCCTCTTGTCCTTTCACTGTGCACAATGGAGCACCCACTTTACCACTGAGTAAAGACAACTGTGAAATCTCTATTTCTTACACTGTAGAATTAAATATTTGCTACCAGTCTGACTTGGGAGCAGGATCAGTATCTACCAGCACAAAGACTCACGAATATCAGTTGTTTCACAGTTTTTTAACCTTTTTTTTCCCTCTTGGCCTTATGCTGTTGTTCCTTTCAGTTTGACTCTCAACTCAGGCATTTATTTATCTTCAATTAAACAAGAATATATGAGTAAACAATCTAACTGATTTCATTGAGACTCATATTTGTCTTTTCCAATGAGTCTACCAAGCTACTAATTGCACAGGGAAACTATGAACAAATTAACAGTTGATCTGATCTAACTTCTCTATTAAGGTTTTAGGACCTGTTTAACTGAGTTGCCCTCTGGCAACAATTCCAGCAGAAGAGTATTAAGCTCTAGTACTAAAGCTGGTTTTACACATCCCTTGACATGTTACTCTTCACTTTGTCACATTCATAATCCTTAGCTCCAATTCTACTACCCTTTGTACTGAACACTATTTTAATCTAGGCATAGTTTTTCTCAATAGGTAAATAAATAATTCTTTGCCTGCAGAAAAAACAAGAAGCCCAAGTCCAGAGAAGAGAATTTGTGAGCGACCGAAATACAGTGATTACAATCGCTGCTTGTACACACAACTCCAGCATGTGGAGATGGAGCTGGAATTACTGGGGCCCCATAAATTCCAGGTGCCTCAGAGTTACACACAAGCTGTTCATCAGGTTCAGCACATGAAGAACCTCCTGGAGCCCCGAATGTGCTCGTCAGCGTCCACCAGTGAGGGGTAACCTGGTTCTCATCTCACTCTCAGTATAAGTAAATTCATGAGTTCAAAATTGGTCAGGATGACAGAGCCCAAATAATTACTGCTTAATATGTGCTAGATGACTATTATTATAGCTGTAAAAATAAGTCTTACTATTATACCATTGTAGAAAAGAAATTTCCACGCACTGTGAACTGCACACAAAGGCAATAATGACAGATCATTGCTCTTTGTTATTTTTGCCTCCAAAATGGAAAGTTACAACACAATGCCACATGATAGTAAAGGGCTGGGATAATCACCAAGCTCCAAAGTCACAGAAGTCTCTTAAAATGTACGGATAAAGAAAAATTAATAAGCAGACAAAAATAGTGCAGTGAAATATGATAATTAAATTGGAAGAATCGAAAACAATTGCTCTAATTATCTCCCTGGCCTTTATGCTGATCACAAGAGACACATCCAGCAGCTTAAATACACTCATGGTTTTCTTTGTCAATAATTCTACTGGAGGTTCAATTATGCATAAACTGAGGAGTAAATAAGCCCATCATATTTATTTTAATTTTAGCTGACCTCTGCACACTTCCTCACATTTTTGCTCACCGTACTTTTTGCTATCCATATATCCTACATAGCTGCATTAGTTAAAAGAAGTCAGAATATTTTGATTGAGGTTTTAAATCATAAGATGTTGCCTGTTCCCAGTGGACTTGATGGTTGTGATTTTGGTTCCTGTTCTACCACAGACTGTTATTTTCTCTTCTGGTTGACTCTCAAGGTGGTCCCTTACTCCAAACTTCTCCGGTGATGACAAGAAGAGTGTTTCTTCCAAAGGACTGCCCTGGTGGTTTGTGTTCATCGGGTGGTTCCTGGTGGCAGCTACCAGTGGTGTGTCCGGGTTCTTTACCATGCTCTATGGGCTGCACTATGGCAAGGAGAACTCCATCAAGTGGCTGATCTCCATGGTCATCTCCTTCTTGGAAAGTCTTTTCATCACACAGCCCTTAAAGGTGAGATCCTCAGAAATACAACCACTGGCCAAGATCAGCTCATCTACTACCATTGCAGGAAGACAGTTCTAAAGAACCACAGGATCTAAGGTATAAAATGAGAAGCCTTTGCCCTTAACAAAGAGTTAGCAGCTGGTTTGCAGAGTTCTGTTGTCTTTTGCTGACATTACCTCCATTAGTTTCATCTCCCTTTTTTCATCAGGGTTTAATAGGTGATGAGGTTTCTGAGCAGGGAAGATGTGTCACTGTGCACTGTTCTCTCGTTTAAGGGCTTCAGCTGCAGGAGTTCAACAGTCAGAGAGCAGTTGTTCTCTGCAGTGCCTGGATCCAAAGGGATCAGTGGCCTGCACTTCTTTATATGAAATGGGCATATGGTGAGTTATAGCTGATTCTTTCCAGGTGCTGGGATTTGCTGCTTTTTTTGCTCTGGTTCTGAAGAAGGTGGAACATGAGGATGTAGAAAACCCAGCTATTGATGGGCCTTTATCTGCACCAGGTAAGTGCTGGTAAAGTGAGATATTATTAAAGAAAGTGCAGCATTCTCAAGCTTTTGGAGTGCTTTATGTGTGACTCAGCTCAGCTGAGAACTTCACTGGTTATCTTTACATACCTGAATCTTAGCTCTCAATGTTAGCAGAAATCACTAAATCCACAGGCATTATGACTACCTACCTACCCATTAGCATTCCCAAGATCAAGTGGAAGTGAAAACAAACCTAAATAACTGATTTTGTGTCAGCTGCAGAAAAAAATAAAGACCACTGTATGTATAGGTTGGATAAATCCTGCAGAACTGTTTCCTAAGGGAAAGCAATAAATAGAAATGTTCCCTTTGAATGTCCAAAGAAACAAAAAGCAGGACATGGATGATCTGTTTACTAATCTCAGGGTTTACTGCTCTCCCTCTCAGGTGATTCACACCCTCTCTTTGGAGCCCGAAGGGACAGTAGAAGCAACATTTACCGGCCACCTCCCGCAGCTGATGTGGAAAAAATGAAAATCAGCTGCATGAAGGAGCAGAAAGCATTTGCCCTCATCCGAGAAATCCTGGGTATCCATACCTAGATTACTTGCTTTATTCAGTAGTACTCATCAGTGAAAATATTGTTCTCTTGGGTGACAAAGTTTTGGCACATCTTCAGCTTTCTGCCAGCCATTGTGATGTAGAGACAGGCTGTTCTGTGGCAGCTGGAGCTGCAAGGAGGTGGAAATGTTAGCTGGAGGTAGAAGTGTGGCTAAGTCTTGATTTTATGGTAAAGAAACACGTTACAGACATGTGAGGGGTTAAAACAAAAATAGGAAGGATAGAACGAGGAGGTCAACAGTTAAATGAAGGTGAAGTCAAAGAGCAGATGGAGGACATCTTTCTAAAAGCAGTAGTATCTACAGATCATGATTTATACTCTTGTTGTATTTTCTCTGAAATCAATGGCAAAAATTACCTCAACTTCACTGGGAACAAAGTTAGACTACTCATTTTATTTAGAGCTGTTGAACTGCTGTTCAGCCTTCCCACTTGTTTTCTTGACTGCTGCTCACATTCCAGTTGTGAAACAGTTAAACTGCAGCAGCTTGTGCACATTTACTAGCACTGGTCACTCAGTCTACAAAGCACCTCCTTGGCCTGATGGGTGCTGACAGCAGTAATCATTCCTGCAGTGTGTTTTGAACAGCATTGTTAATTCAGATCTCACATGTGCTGTCTCTTCCTGGTTTTTTTCCCAGCCTATATTGGGTTTTTATGGATGCTGTTACTGGTTGCCTATGGGCAGAGAGATCCCAATTCCTACTATTTGAACAAACACATTGAGGACAGCTTTACAGCTGGATTCCACGATGTCTACAGTTACCAGGATTTCTTCACGTGGGCAAACACCACCTTACTCAAAAACCTTTATGGATCATATAAAGGTGCAGAGTCACACTGTTTCCCATCAGCTTGCCAGATTGTGAAGCATAATCTTTTATACATATCCCTAACTTTCACAGGTGTATTTGAGTGGAGAAAGAGATGTCAGAGTACAAGGCTAGCATGGATTCTTATAATATGATAATATGAATACTAGTGGATAACAAACCCCCCACAGCTTGATCACAGGTCAAGTGTGCCCTGATATTTTCCTTGTATGTAATATAAACCAAAAATTCTGCACTATAATGCTGTATTTTTCACATTTTACATTAGGTACTGCAGATATTCAGATATATGCCACAGTTCTACACAAGCTGCCTTCCATAACCCAGAAAAGAGAACGGCAGACAGGTGGCACCATAAAGCTTTTCTCAGGAGAGTTGTTTGCATCAGGGCTTGGGTCAATGTGAAGGCAAATTATGCAATATCACCATGTTTTCTCTATGTAGCCACATGCAGAAAAATCTGACCCATTTTCCAGCTCACATTTAAGGGTAAATACTGAAATACATTAGCAGAGTTGTTCTTTGGACATGACAGGCCACACGAACACTGCATAAAGCTACTCTGCTGTGGGAGTCAAAGTGAGTCACTTTTCTCCCCCAGGCCTCAGTTTCCTTCTGTATAAAATACAGATGGGTAGTGATACTGAACTCTGGTTTTATGAATGTTCTTTAAGAACTCAGTTCCAATCAACATGAGGGTTTCATTTCCATGACTATTTTGCTTACAGTGTTTCTGAGAAAAGAATATATAGCAAAATATTAACGCATCAGTGAATCATAAATGAAATGAAGAAATATTATTAGTTCTGCCAGGTTGCCAGTGCTGCTCTTTTCCATCTCCTGTTTAGGATTCATTACAGATGGCAATTCCAAGCTGGTGGGGAGTGCTCGAATTCGCCAAGTAAGAGTGAAAGGAGACACCTGCCCTATTTCTCCCAAACTCCAGCATGTAGTTGAGGAATGCCATGCTCCATACTCCCTAGAGACAGAAGATACAGCAGTTTATGGGGAACACTGGAATTCTTCAGTCTTTGATAACTCCTCTGACCTGAGCTCAGCGTGGCAGTATCAGAGTCAGTCCAAACTGAGAGGGCAGCCCAGCTGGGGTAAACTGGCCACCTACAGTGGAGGGGGATACGTGATTCAGCTGGGAACCGATCCTGGGAATGCCTCCAGGTACCACTTGTATTCTTGTGAGTTATCAGTGTCTCCTCCCTGTGATACTGTCTCTATCCTGGATGAGTTGGATCACCGGCTTTACATTTTTTTGGCAGAATTCTCCAATACCTTTTCAGCAATGTCTGGCTGGACACCTTCACCAGAGCAGTGTTTGTTGAATTTACAGTCTACAATGCCAATGTGAACCTGTTCTGCATTATAAGCCTGATGTTTGAGAGCAATGCTTTGGGTGAGTACATTTTTTTAAGTTACAGATTTGTGAAGACAGCAAGCAGTGCACCTGTAGAAGGTGGATTTATATGTTGTCAGTGTTTTCCTAGTTCTTTATTCAGTAAACAGAAGGGTTTTAATAAATCTAATCATGACAGAATCAATGCAAATTATATAAATCATTAAGGAAAAATGCAACATCACAGTAATACTGACTAAAATGGAATATCTTATGTTTGCTTATGCTGTGGTCATCTGCTGATGAAGAAAACACGACACTGAAACTTAACCTCCAGAATTTATACAAGAACAAGAAAAAATTGTTTCCTAATCTCTTCAGCTAATCAATACAATATTAAGACAAAAAGTACAAATAACAGTCTGTTTTTTTGTTCCAGATGACTTCCAGTATATTGCTGTGTAATCATATAATACATAACCTGGATACAACAAAGCGAACAGAGAAACCATATTCTGGTTTAAAGGCCATAAAAAAAAACATTTGGTCTGGGAGCAGCCTCCCTCAGGTCTGGCCCGGTGCTGGAAAATGCCAAAACTGACCGCAAAACTGAGCTCATGTTCCTTTTAGAACAAGATTCAGCTTTACATCTCCAAGTCCTCCTGCTACAGTCCTGCATTTGCAGTCCAATCCAAACTCAGCCCTGCTGGAATTAGTGTTGTGCTATGACACAAGACAGCACCAGCACTCTAAAAGCCACTGACTGCCTGAAATGCCTGTTTGAGGAAAATGTCAAAGAACACTTACAAGGTTACTCACATAATCCAGTCTAAATCTCAGTTTGATAGTTGGAGTCAGGCTCACACTGATGTGAAAGCAAGTACAGAAGTCTGACTGGTGAACTGAGTGTTGGAATGAGAACAGAGAGGTGTGACTATCAGAGCCCTGAGGTGACCCCTGTTTGTGTTTCAGGGGCCTTCTTCCCAAGTGCAGAGCTGCAGAGTGTCCGGCTTTACCCCTACACCAACAGCCTCCACATCTTTGTGGTTGCAGCAGAAGGGATTTATTTCCTCTTTATTGTGTACTACATGATAGTACAGGTGAGGCCAGTGGAAAGTTCAGCATCACCTTGTGTCTGGGGTGGATTTCACTTACAAAAACTTTGTGACTGTACTTGATTTCAGAAGCATCGCTGTTGCCACACCAATGGAAGATTAAATCCCATAATGGGAAGGCAACACTTGATTTGGCTGGAATGCTTCTTTTGAGAAAGATAATGAGTAATTAGTGCAAGCTGTAGTTTTATTGATGCACAGTAGTCTGTTTTATTGCAGAGGGAATTGCCCTAATCTTTAGAGGTATTATATGATCTGGAGTCATGAGACTGAGACAGTAAAACTCCTCTTTTCACAGGGGAAACTGCTGAAGAGTCTGAGATGGAGATATTTCCACAGCAAGTGGAATCTCCTGGAGATGGCCATTATATTGATTAGCTGGAGTGCTCTGTCAGTGTTTGTGAAGAGGACAATCCTTGGGACCCGAGACATCAGTTACTACCAGGAACACAAAGAGAAGTATGTACTAATGCTATTTAATGCATCCTTTGTTGTTGCTACTTATGCAGAAATAAATCTATTTTTCCCCTTCCCAGACAGCAGAAGTCTGTGCTAGAAACTGCTATCCCATATGAGTATATTCATGAAGCCTGCAAGTGTTTCAGGGCTTAGATTTGTGTCAGCAATAGGATTTTCTTCTGATACCTCTCTAATAAAATCCAGCAGACTTGAGCACTAAGTTTCCCTTTCTAGCTGCTAATTTCCTGTCTGCATCACCCTCTTGTGAACCAACAAGCCTTTCTGCCACAGGACATCCACCCAGAAAGCACATAATCTGCCTTGTTCTTTGTTGTAAAAAGCCATTGGTTAGGGGACAATAATGGCTTATTTAGTACAGAATGGGAAATTATAACATCTGTTAAAATAGAGTCACACAGGACAGAAGTGACAGGATCACAGGATGATTTAGGAAGGAAAGGACCTCTGAAGGCTTCTGTTCCAACCCCCTCTTTTGGTGTTAGATCAGGTTGCTTGGGGTCTTGTTTGGTTGAGTTTTGAGTATCTCCAAGGACAGAGGTTCCACAGCCTCTCTGGAGCCCTGAACTACTCTCATTGTGGAGAAAAAAACCCTGTTTTTTCCATGTCCATCTGGAATTCCTCTTGCTGCAGCTTGTGGCTATTATCCCTTGTCATTTCATTAGGCACCTCCAGGAAGTGTTTTACTACACCCTCTCCATAACCACTGACTATATAGCTGGAGACAGCAGTTGGAGGCCTTCTTAGCTTTCTTTGCTCCAGACTGAACAAACCAAGCTCCCACACCCTTCTCTCATGTGTCCTGTGACCCCATTCCCAACCATCTCAGTGCCCTTCATTGGACTCAAAGACTCCTGGCACTGGGGAGCCCAAAACTGGGCTCAGAATCCCAGATGCAGCCTCACAAATGCTGACAGAGCAGAAAGAACAAGCACTTCTTTAACCTGACAGCTACATTCTTGCCAATGCAGCACTCGTTTATCACACAGGAATATGTCATGTGCTCTATTTGTGCACACAGCTTATAAAAGCTGCATTAGCTGCCTTTAAACTATGACTTGATAAAAATAAGCAGCATTTAGGCTACAGCTAAAATGCTGTAAAAAAACATTAAAAAACCCAACTCTGCCCTGCACAACTGAGCTTTTTGTGTGTGCACAGCAGGAAGTACAGGTGGGAAGACTCCAGCAGGAACTCATTAGGTCTCCAGTGAAACCAGGACAGAGTCACTGGCCTTTCCAGCACACCCATTTATGCTCTTCAAAGGACTCTGTGTGCATGGTCTGTTACACATTTCCCTTCTCTCCAACAGCTCTGTGAGCTTCAGTGAGACAGCGAGAGCTGATGCAGTTCTTGGCTACCTGATCGCCTTCCTGGTGCTCCTCTCCACAGTGAAACTGTGGCACCTCCTCAGGCTCAACCCTAAACTAAACATGATCACCTCAACACTGAGGAGGGCATGGGGTGACATCTCTGGATTCATCACTGTGATTGCAATCATGTTCCTTGCCTATTCCATTGCTGTGAGTACCCCTGTGCTTCCTGTTGTCTGCAGGCAGCACCCAGGGACTGTCAGGTTAAATGAGTTATTTCTGGATGCTGAAAGGAACATGGCTTTGCTATGTAAAATGGAATAAAGCTGTCTGTCCAAATCTTAGGTTAGCAGCTTGTATGTGTGAAAGAGAAGTTAAAATACCCACTCGTCTGTTCTTTGTAAACCAAAATTTAGTAAAAAATAAATGCTGAGATAAAAAAAAAAAGGATTATCTATGTGTAGTAGATATGACAAAGAACAAAGTACAGGAAAAATAATTTTCTGGATAAAATTATTATGTGGAGAGTGCAGCAAGTGCCATTTTCTGTTTGGCTAGTTTATAAGTGGGAAATATTATTTTTCTGCCTATTGCAGGAATACTTATTATACAAATACAATTATATTTTCATCCTAACGAGGTTAAAGAATTCTTGGACTGCAACTATTTATGTACATTTACTGTTTAACTGAGATGTTTTGTGTAAATCTTCTGGCAGGGCGATTCGGGAAATTCAGCAAATTAATTCCAGAGCCACTAAAAAAGTGGAAACCATCTGAGCCAAATCCAAGTTGTCCCATAAAGGACAGTCCTGTGACAAACAGGACCTGCTGCAGACTCACACTGCCTGATTTCGTGTCCCTCATCCCTCCCTCCAGCACTGACACTCAGGCAACTGAGTAGCTTTAGGCACTGGTGTGGTCACAAACTTACCAGGTAAAATAAGTGATCAGATCAGTTCCATGAGCCAGCCTGCTGTCCCATCATGAGAGTGATGGAGCTGTGAAAGAAAGAAGTAGAGGGATGAAGAAAAAGGTGAGCCTGCAGCAGCCTTCATTTAAATCAGACACAGTAGGCCCTCAAGGTATAAATTAACAAATCAGCATCTTGGTTACTGAGGGCAAACAAAGAGGTTGCCTGTTTGGAAGGATCTGTGTTTGTGCCTATGAATTATTTGGACAGGGATAAATCTGCTCCTTGAAGACGAGCTAAATTACTTTCATGATTGTTGTCATGTATTTGCAGATTTTTTCACATACCTAGTGGCAAGCTGAGCTGATATAAGACATTCTCATATCCATGATAGAAGGTCTTAAAACTAAACAAAGTGTGAATCCAGTTCTAGCTCTAAGTTAGGCTTCTTCTGTGACCTTGTCTGATGTTTCCCCTGCTTGTAAATAAAAGAAAAACCCAAACCACAAAAAGCTTCATGACTCTAATGACAAGCTGGGAGGGTTTTGTCTGAATACAGAAGTCATCAGCTGATTTTGCAGCAAGGACTCTGATCGTGACACAGGATGTGACTTCTGTCCTCTGCAGGCAAACCTGATATTTGGCTGGAAGCTCTACTCTTACAAAACTCTCTTTGATTCAGCAGAGACCATGGTCAGTCTTCAGCTGGGAATCTTCAACTATGAAGAGGTACCACTTTTAATTTTGGGAAGTTTATCACCATACAATTAGCATCTCAGCTACCAAATATGCTCTGACCCAGCAAATAGAAATATTTCCAATTAGTGTTAAACATTAATATAATTTTGCAAGCTCCAAGGCTTCCTAAAGCAGCCGCCTTTTCTCATAAAAAAAAAGACACCAAGTGAAATCTCTCTCACATCCCATTTTGACCACGAGGAGACTCATAATGAACCTTTCATTGAGAAACCTGCCCACATTTCAACTAGAGAGATGTTACTAATTCATTACAGAAAGTTTTGAGCAATTTCCTTAGAAAGCTAAAGATAGAAATGTGAGTGATGCCTTGTGTTTGTTCTGAACAAACCCTCCAGCTTTCCAAGAAAGGCAAGGGGAACTTTGTGTTACATTGGTTTTTATTGTTCTTGACTTTTTCACTAAGTTCTTTCAAATACTGCAATATCCTTTGAACACTTTTTTTTGTGGAGCAAGCTAGTTCTTGGACATCTCTGATTGTGAAGTCCTCCTTGGTGGATGTTTTTAGACCATGGGTCCAATAGGATATGGGTGGCTTTGAAGATCAGTAACTGGGCACAAAGTTTTTCACCTCTACATCCCACTCACGTTAATCACAGAAATATATTCCTGTGTTGTAGTTTACATGAAAATTAGGGGTTTGGATTTTTCACAACCTTTGGTTTGTAAGTGTCTAAGAAAGTCTGACTGGGCTTCTCTGTAAAACATACAATAAAATAAAATAAATGCATAAAGAGATTTCATGTGTACTTTGAAAGCTGAGGTGTGAGGGAGCTTCAGTTGTTCCATGGATAAACAGATCTCCAGGCTTGTCAACTGTCATGTGAAACTTTCATACCATTACAATCAAATTCAAATACTTAAAAAAACCCCAAAGATTGTCCATCTTATATATATATATATATATATATAATATATATGATTGCCAATCTTATATATATATATATATAAAATATTATATCATATTTTTACTATATCATATTAACACATGACAGTGGCTAAAGGAGAAAATGTATATATATATTTATAATACATATGGTATAATTGATTAGACACGGGATTTTCAGAAAGACAAACTTTTTGGGTCTTAACTGCTTGTATGTACGTATGTATGTCTGTTTGTGGTTACAATCACAATGTGATGTCTTACCTTACGAATTGTACAGGTCTTGGACTACAATCCAGTTTTAGGCTCCTTCTTAATTGGATCCTGCATCATTTTTATGACATTTGTGGTACTGAATCTGTTCATTTCGGTGATTCTGGTTGCTTTTAGTGAGGAGCAGAAGCACTACCAGGTGTGTTCATCTAAACTCTCCTGTTCTTAATATTTATTGTTCAGTGCTTACTCATGATTTACGTATTCAGCCATGGATGAAAACCATGTAAATTCAATCCAACTCTTAAGAAGTCAACATTTGCTGAGAAAGCACACTTCAGATTTTCCAGATTGACGCTGTCTTCTCCTGGCCAGACGACTTGCTGTTCAGATGCAGTACGAGATCTGATTTGTAGCCTTCTCTTCACATACTAAACCCACCAAAAAGTTGTGCTTAGGCTTGTGCTGAGCTATTTTGAAATCAGTGCCAAAACTGCTGCTGAAGTGCATGAGGACTTTACAGCTCCTTTTAAAACTCTCATTGTGAGTGCCTGACCCATTCAAGCTATTGATAACATGGTGTGAAATCCAGCTTAGTACTCCAGTACTGCCCAGAATTCCTCTAGGTTTTAAATAAAGTCAAAGGAGATGAAAACAAAGGCTGTGGTTGGTAGAAGACAAGAGATATTCAGTTTTTCTCATTTGCTTCATCTAGAAACGGTGGGTGGCTTATTGTACATACCACTGGCTGTATAGGAGCTGGCAAGTGAACTCCAGGCTCCTGTAGAAAGATTTCCACGAGCTTTGACAGAGCCAAAATTTCTGTGGTGCCCATGCTCATCTGAGGCTTTTGTCTGGATAAAAATATTGGCAAGTTCTGCTTTGGCAGCCACTCATGCCTTGCTGGGAGTGAAAGTTGGCTTATTTCAACTCAAGCAGAGATTTTGTCTTGCGACTGAACCCACTTCTGGTCTGTGCATCCTAGTAACTTGCTGCTTGTTGTTATTTCAGGCTTCAGAAGAAGAGGAGATTGTTGATCTAATGCTAATGAAACTCTTCAGTTTCTTCGGGATTAAATGCAAGAAGGAAGAGAAGCCAGTCACTGAGGGGCAGCTGGAGCAACCTGTCAACGAGTGAACGACGACCACATTGAAAAGTCACTTTGCTTGTGGGCAAAATATTTACTCGTTCGCTGTCAGCTGCAGTGGTTAGGGTTAGGTTAGGTTTTAGGCTTAGGTTATCGCAGCTTCTCACTAGAACGGGCTTACCCAAGGGAATGGCGTGAAGCTGTGTCGGGGAGGTTTAGGTTGGACATAAGGAAAACGTTAAAGAGGGTGGTCGGGCACTGAACAGGCTCCCAGGGCAGTGGTCGTGGTCCCAAGCCTGAGGGAGTTCAAGGAGCCTTTGGGCAATGCTCTCAGGCACATAGTGGGATTCTTGGGGTTGTCCTGTGCAGAGCCAGGAGCTGGACTTTGATCATCGGTGTGGGTCCCTCACAACTCAGAATGTTCTGGGAGAATGACGCGGTGTCCAGCAGCGAGCCGTTCTCAGCGTGTTATTTTGCAGTAACAGCTAAGAAGTAACGCTAAACCTAAGGCGAAACGCCCCACGTGCGCTTGCTGTAGATTCGACACCTGTATTTATTTAATAAACACTGAGTGCCTGTTGCAGTCTGCCTAAAACCTCTCGCTCTCCCTCACGGGAAGATGGCGGCTCCCTCACGCCGGCCCCGGCCCCGGCCCCGCTGCCGGCGAGGCGGGGGCTCGGAGCTGTATCCAGGCGGCTCCTCACGGCCCGCGAATCCCCTCCCGGTCCCGCCGCCGCGACGGACCCGCTGAGGGCCGGCACGGGCCCGTCCCCGCCCCGCCGCCATCACCGCCTCCTGCCGGCGCCGCCCCCGCCCGCCCGCGGCAAAGATGGCGTGGCGAGCGCTGTGGCGGGTCGGGCCGGTGCTGGCGCTGGCGCCGCGCTGCCCGCGCCTCCCGCCGCCACCGCGGGTGCCCGCGGTCCGCGGGCTGCGCACCGGGGCGCTGCTGCTGTCCGGTGAGTGCCGGCCCGGGGAGCGGGGGGAGCGCGGCACAGCGCCGGGGGGAGGCTGCGGGCAGGGTGGGCTGCGGGACCTCGTCCGCCGGTGCGGTGTGCGCGGGGCAGCCGAGCGGCAACCGCCCTATATCCCTCCTTCCCTCCCTCTGTCCCTCCTTCTGTCCCTGCATCTTTCCCTCTTTCCCTCCCTCATTCCCTCCCTCCCGCTCAGCCGTGTGTCCTGGCGGCCCCTCGGAGGGTACCGGGAGAGCCCCGCAATAGCGCTGAGGCCGCGCAGGGCTCGTCCCTGCCCCTTGTCCCGCTCCTGACACTCTCCCCATTCCCGCTCCCGCCGGGAGCAGGTTCACCTCCCTCAGTTGCCAAGGAACTTTTCACCTCCACTCCTCTGAGCACAGAGGCTCAGTCTCCCCCAGCCAGCAGCTTTGAGGAGCGGGCCGAGCGCGGAGAGCTCCAGCTTGACCAACTCAGCTCATATTTTCCTGGGATTGTCGCCCCCAAACAGCTCCAAGGAGCACCAGCAGCGCAAGAAAGGGGCAGGAGGGGGTGTCTGGCGGGGGCCGGGGAGCCCCAGCCAGGTTTTCAGGGCCTTGAGCCTGTTTGGGATGAAGTTTTGCTCTGGCAGCCAGAGCTGCACCAGTGGCCAGGCAGGAGATGGACTCGCACATCAGTGCCTGGGGTGGTTTTGCTCTGTGTACTTAATTCTGAAGGCATCTGCTGCTGTCGAAGCTCTCTTTGAATGGAAGTTGCCCACAGAAGTCTGAAGAACAGAATCTGTGGTACTCTAGCAAACAGAAATGTTGAAAAAGTAGGTGAGGAGGCAAATATGCTATAAAAGTAATGCAGCCACTGAGAAGAGCTCATCAGTTTTCTTCCAGACAGTCTTAAACCTACCTGCTTAACTGCCTTCTGCTGCAAGTGAAAGGAATAACGTTTGTTACTCATTATTAGCAAATTCAGTCTGAGCTTTTTCACTATTCTGATTAAGGTACCCATTGTTTTTCTATACATATCACTCGAAGGAATAACAAGCTGCGCTTTTGTTTTAGGCAGAGAGGAAAAAGTTTGTATGCCTCTTTGGGGGAGTGTGAGTTCACTCTTCAGATGTATATTTATGAAGTATTTAATAGAAGCAGGTTACACTGAATGAAGGGTTGAGTTCAGAATGTGTTAGTTAAGCTGAAACCAAAGTCCTGTTGAAATGAGTGAAGCCGGAGGAAATTCAGCTGCTCTTCTGAAAAAGAATGCAGGGGAGAGATTTGGTATGCTTTGACAATTCATATTCATCTGAGTTGATTGATCACATAAGATCAAAGTTCAAATTTTGAGATTACTTATTAACTGTTTTTAATTTGACCTTTACTTTAGCTACGGTGTTTTTTGTTGCATGCTTAGATTTCCTAATTTCTCACGTGTTTTTTTTTTAATCCCGAAAGAAATGTGCTCTTCCAACTGTTCAGACCGTTTTACTGCTGTATTCCACTGATGTGAAAGTGTTCTGGTTTTTTATTAGCCTTGCTTTATAAACAGATGTTGTATAATATTATTATCCAAAATAAAAATGTATTTGTTGGTTTCTGTGTGACATTTGTAACATCACAAGTATTCAGCTTGGGTTTGAGATTGTGTGTCATTCTCCATTCTTATGGTTCATTACTCATTTCCAATAGAATTCCTGTGGGTTTAATGTCTTGACCTAAAATGATTTAAGACATTTGATTTATTCTGTTCATTGGAGTGTGTCAGGAGATGTTTTTATAGGTATTAATAATGCTATCTGAAATTCTCTGGGGTTTTTGAGTGATAATTCATGGAAAAATACTTCATATTTACACTTTACTCAATTTTTTGGTGTACTCCACTTGCAAAATATGTATTGCTGTATTGAGGGCTATAAAATTTAGGCCCTATTCAAAGACAAACCATTTTATCTGAGACTTGCTTCTGTTGAACAAATAAGAGGATGCCTGCAATTGAAACAGCTTAAAATTTGACAGACTTATAGTGGAAAGATTTTAGCAGGTCTACAGTGAGAACTTCTGTTTTTCTTCATGTGCAAGTTTAGAAAATATAAAAGGATTTGCCAAAATGTAATTGGGATTTGCAGAAGTGTAATTTCTCTGGTGGGTGCTGTAAAGAGTCCAGCCCAGAGGAAGAGCCTGAGAGGAGAATTTTGAGCTCAAAAGGAAAGTCCAGCTGCACTACCCTGGCACTAATCACACAGGGAGCTCTGTTTCAGAAGTTATCCAGCTTCTGCAACATCCCTTGCCTGGCTGGATGGGTGCTGCAAGTGAAAATTTAAAATAAATTAGTTAAAATTAACAATAAGTAAGGAGGTATTTATGGGGAAACTCTCTGGAAGTGAGAAAACAGACAAGGCAGCTGAAAATGCTGAGTAAAAAAAGTTCCAGGTAAAAATGTTAGCAAGAAAAACGTTTCCTGATTCAGTTACTTCTTTTGAAGTCTCTCCATGTGACTTTATGAAAACAACTGCCTCTAATAAAGGTGTCTTGAATCTTGCAGATGTAAAATGGATGAAGAGTTGTAACGTTCCTGTGAAGTGACTTTACAAGGTTTTAAACGGGCTTATTTTAAAATGATACAGAATAACTAAAGTGTTCTCCTCAGAGTCACTGTATTAACAGAGAGCTAATTCTCTTAAGTAACAGTTGTCAGCATGATTTGACTGATTTTGTCCTTTATTAATTTGGCTTAATTTTACACAGATCAGTGACAGCTTTGAATGAGATGCTGTAAGACTGACACTGTTTCTTGAGTCATTAACATTGGCCTTCCCAGCTGTAATGAAGTGGTTGTCAGAAAGAAACACTAAATATGTTTGAAAAGCCACTATGCTATAGTAGAAATGTGTAGCTCTGGGTAAAATACACATATATGCTTCAGATTTACATTTTGTTGGAAGCAGAGCTGCTCCTTTTGCTCCTGTCCTGTCTCAGTCTCCAGATGAATGCACAGGAACTGGTAACGCTCTCAGGAGGACACCCAGTGAGCTCCTGCCGTGTCACTGGGCAGAACAAGAGGCTTCTGTAAATTGTATGTGCTGTGTAAGATATTTCCCAAGAAAAATGAACAGAGCTGTAGCAGAAAGCCCCCCAGTTTAAGCCTGCAGATGTGTTACTGTATTTAACCCAGCAACATTTCACTTCTTCCTGAAATGTCAAGTTTGTTTCCTTTCAGCCCGCAAGTTCACAGACAAGCACGAATGGATATCTGTGGATAATGGCATTGGAACAGTAGGAATCACTGATTTTGCCCAGGTATTGATCCCTCCCTCCTCCCCCAGGCCTGCAGTATTTATTTGGGCATATCTGCTCCTGGCCTTGCTCTTTGGACACCTATGGTTTCTTTACTGTTTTAACTGCGTGTGTTGCACACTGAGCGCGATTTTTGGGCTTGGATCCGTCACCGTGTTGGTGATATTTTTGCTGCTTAGCATTCTGATAAGTTCTTAATTGCTTCAGGTTGAGCCTGTGGAGAGCTGAACTTGATGAGGAGCTTTATTCCTTCAGTTCTTCTAGGCCTGAGCCCTTCGTGGCTGTGTGAAGGGGACATCATGTGCTTTGTTAGGTCAGATTTCCCGTGGTGAAATCCCTCTGGCTAAAGAACAGTTGTGAATCGATGTACAACATGGCACATACCTCTCATGCAAGCGCAGGAGTTCCTCTGGATTTTTTGTTTTGTTCTGGTGCAGGTAAATGATTTGGAATGGCCACAGGCAAATTCAGGACAGAGATTCGCTGGGTGTGAAACGTGAGAAAAGTGAATGGGACAAGCTGTCAATAGGTGGAATTAATGTTTCTTAGGACAAGCAGCATTTCCTGTGATCTCAGTTCTCTGTGGATAATATTTGAGATCCCTGGTCTTTGGTGAGATAGGGTACCTGTGTCAGGGAAGAGCTGAGCCAATTCTTATGGTGATAAGGGTCCCAATTAAGCCATTAAGGGCAAACGGTGTGCTAACAGCTCTCCAGTTGTCCCTGTCTCTGCGAAGGAATCATTGAACCTTCTTTCAGATGGCACTTGATGTAAATCCTCTGTGCTTTGTAACAAAAAGATAATTCCTTCAAAACACAGGGAACTTTGTCCTTTGAAACAGTTGTTGCTGTGACTGATGCTAAGAAGGTGAGCAGATGTTATTCCTCATTCTGCCAGAAGGAATCTGCATATAAACTGAGCCTGAGGGTTATTAGCACTGTAATAGAGAAGCAGTAATTTGGCATTTGGGCCATGATAAAACAATCCAGTTTTTTCATGTTAACTGTTTGAAAAGAAAAAGTGAAAAACACGTAATGCTTAAAGATGAGAACTAAATCTAGAGAGTGCTTATACACACATTCCAGAGTTACTGTATCAGCTCTCTGCTATGTATACTTTCCTTAAGGTATGCTTTTGTTTTTCTTTTAAGGAAGCATTAGGAGACGTTGTTTACTGTAGTCTTCCAGAAATTGGGACAAAATTGAGTAAAGACGGTGAGTTTCGGCTCTAGTTGCTAATGAAGTAGTTATTCTAACTCATCCCACCCTTCCTTTGCAAAGATGAATTTT